TGGAGATTCCACTTATTTTCAGTTTCTTTGTTTCAGTTTTGTTTGACCAATATAAACACTCTGTGCTCAGTGAATACTTTTAATAACACAAAGAACTATTTTTATTTGTTTTCTTATCTATTTTGATTTTCAAGACAGGGTTTCTCTGTGTAGCCCTGGCTGTATTGGAACTCGCTCTGTAGACCAGGCTGACCTCAAACTCACAGAGATCCTCCTGCCTCTGCCTCCGGAGTGCTGGGATTAAAAGCATGTACCACCACCACCTGGCACACAAAGAACCATTTCTAAAAGTAGAGTGTTTATTGCGGTAAATAAGGATCAGGATAAACAAATAGGCCGAATAGATGTTTATTCAGGGAGAAATAACTTACAACCTAGACAGATGAACACCAGGAAATTCAACCCGATCCTCTCCTGTCCGAGTCACGCCAGAAAGAGAGAGCGCCTTCCTGGCCCCCTCCGACCTCCTTCCTCAGGTCACCTCCGCCCATCGCTCCACCCCCCAATGGGCGTGGAGAATTCATAACAAAATTTGAGGACTACAAACATTTTAAACAATCTTGCACCCAGAAGGACTCTTAAAAAGTCAGCAGATTTTTTTTTTCTTCCAAGAATGAGTTATCCTTGAGGGTGTTTTGTTTGTTTGTTTGTTTGGCTTGCAGATAAAATGCTCTCATGGGACCAAGATGTCTGAATCAAGATACCCTGTGCACAGGTGTCACAGAGAACAGTAGAGGTATCAAAGAAGAAATTGTATTTTGGTGTCGGGAGCCAAGAAAGAAGATCGTCTTTACCAAATTCCATCCCCAATAGCTTAAACTACTGGACCAGCCACTTCAAGGTCCATTCTTGGTTAGTGGACCAGGAGATGAATACTTGAGTTGGAGTGACGCTTTGGGCCAGTGTGCTTCTCACTGGGATAAAAATAGGGCCCTCAACATGCTGAAGCTTCCCAACCAACCATATACATAGTTATAAGCCCAGGCCCAAGTCTGAGTATCTCCTGCAACTATCCAATCAGTTTGAACTCATTATCTTCCCGCCTTAGCATCCTGACTGCCTTTTAGAATTACAGGCTAGTACTGCCACGCCCAGTTTACTCCAGAGAGCTGATCTTTGAGGAAGGATTTACTTTGGCTCATAGTTTCAGAACACTCACTTAGCCACTTCCTTCATGACCCACCTCCACCCACCTCCCCCACCTGTTTCCACCTCTTAAAAGATCTCACAAGAGTGCCACAGGCTGGGGACCAAGACTTTAACACATGGGTTTTACTGATAACACCTTCCAACTTCATTTTTGTTTCTTACAAGTCTTTGCATTTCCAGGTGAGACTTAGAATTAGCTTGGAAATTTTAGAAAATCTGTGGGGTTTGGGTTGGGATTATATAGCTTCTGTCCATCCATTCCACCCCACTCCCTTTCACATGAAAGGAAGCAAGCAGACACAGTCCTGTGCTTGGCCCTTCTGTCTTCGCAATGAGTCATGTAGATTGTAGGTTTTTTTTTTTTTTTTTTTTTGATTTTTACTCTTTGGTCTTTTGGGGGCCCACCCCCCAAGTCCTAAATAAACACACACCGAGACTTATTACTTATGAAACTTATGAATGCCTAGCCTTGGCTTGACTCATTTCCAGCCAGCTTTTCTTAATTTATATCCACCTTTTGCCTCTGGGCTTTTTCCTTTTACTTCTTTATATCTTACTTTCACTTATTCTCAGTGGCTCCTTTTCTCTATCCTTGATCACTCTTGCTTCTTTTTATCCTCTCTGCCTGCCAGCCCTGCCTATCCTTGCTCCTGCCTCGATATTGGCCATTCAGCACTTTATTAGACCATCGGGTACTTTAGACAGGCAAAGTAACAGAGCCTCACAGAGTTAAATAATTGCAACATAAAAGAATGCAACACACCTTTGCATCATTAAACAAATGTTCCACACCATAAAAGTCATACATTTTAAAATAATATTCCACAGAAGTAGATCTTCCATAGTCTCCCTTAGTTTCCACCTAGCTTCATCTAACCAGTCCTCTCTCATTGATTTCTAGCTTTGCCAATGTAGTTGTCATTGTAAACACTGGGGTAGTGCCGCAGTCGTGCATGTGGTTTCCCCTGTGTGTTGGAAAACAAGAAATGTGATGACTAGGTCAAAATTTAATGGATATTTCTAAGTTGCCCATATCAGAGTTTCATCAGTTTATAGTTCTGTCAATAATAAAACAGGTTTGTTTTGCACACAGCCTCAACAGTGGGTTTACCCACTCACATGACCTAGATTGGCATGGACCTCATTATGTAGCTAAGGATAATTTGAAGTTTTAGTCCTTCTGTCTCTACGAACTGAGAACTGACATTACAGGCATTTGTTGTTGTTGCTACGGTTTTGAAACAAGGTCTCATTGTGTAGTACTGGCTGGCCTAGAATTTGCTACGTAGATCAGGCTGGCCTCTAACTCAGAGATCTAGTTGCCTCTGCTGGAATTAAAGGTGTGTGCCACCATGCCTGATCATATCAGGGTTTTTATTCCAGAGCTATGGATAGATAGAGTTCAGAGCTTCGGTGCAAGCCAGGCAAGCATTCTACCAAATGAGCTATAATCCCAGTACTTATTTTCATTTAAGTTCATTACAGGTAAATTTTAATTCTAAAACATTTAATTATCTCCAAAGAATCACCTGGAGCCATTTTAGTGGTTAATTGTATTTCATGATCAATAGGCTGTGGTGCCTGCATGGCCAAACAAATCTAGACACTGCTTGGAAGGTGTATACAGATATTTAGATCTTTCTTTCTATTGAGGTCTACCAAGAGTAAAGACTTCTGCTTGCCGCTTTCAGATTCGGGATTGCAATGTCAGCAGGCATCCTGGTGGCACATTTATAGGCCACCAATATTGTATAAGCTAATCCTTAAAATTGTTTTGCTTTCTAGGATGTGGCTATTTCACATATCAACTAACAGCAGCTGTGTTTAATTTCAAGAGCAAGCCAGTCAAAATTTCGGCATGGATGGGGTAAGGTCCCCAAGACACTGTGTCCCTATTGGAGGAACTATTGGCAGTTGATGGCCGCTGCAGGAGAGTCACTGTCCCTTGGGTATTTGGCTGATGGTAGATTGCTCATGTCCCAGTGAATGGCTATATTCTCATGCACTATGTGATGTATGGGTAGTGCTAATTAGACTTAGGGAGTTATTGATGATGATGATGATGATGATGATGATAATAATAATAATAATAATAATAATAATAATAAAGACATGAAGTTGGGGCACTAGAGGGCGACGGCGGGCAATAGTGATGGTTGGATAGGATCAAAATGTACTGTATACATGTATGGATTTTTCAAAGAACCAAAATATTATATACAAAAAACTTTGTTGGACCGCCCCCCCCAACGCAAATATTCTGTTTTCCTCCCCCTTCTGCCCCTGCCTGACAGTGGCTTCCTGCATTTAAGGTGGTTTATCAAGGTTTCAAGGTGCACTCATGTTATAGCATGGGTGAGGATTTCATTCCTTTTGTAGCCAAATTGCACTCCATTATATACATACTGTTGCGGCTGCCACGAACTCTGGTTTGTGTTTGCTTGAGTGCCTGTTTCACAGAGTGGCCTTGCTGATGATACTTCTGTGTCCCTCACAAGGATGGAGAGTTCAGTTTCTCTGTTTTCTCTTAGTATCATGACATGCTGTTTAGTGTGAAGTGGGGTTTCACTCTGAATATTTATCTGTTTGAGGCAGGATCAACAGAGTTCATGCTGGCTTCAAATATACCATGCCTCTGAGAATGACCCTTCTGCGCATGCCTGGTTTCATTCCGAGTTTCACTTTCCGAGTGGCTAGACCTTGAATATCTTCTGATATGCTTATGAACCATTTGCACAGATACTCGGAGAAGCAGCTGCTGAAGAAAATATTTTTCCTTTTCTTTAAGAATTTTAAAAAAAATCTGTATGGGTGTTTTTTCCTGAAAGTATGCACCACTGGTTTGCCTGGTGCCTATGGAAGCCGGAAGAGGGCTTCAGATTCCCTGGAGCTGGAGTTATAGATGGCTGTGAGCTGCTATGTGGGTATTGGAAATCAAACTGGGGTCCCCAGTGCTCTCGACCACCAAGCCACAGCTATAGCGTGTAGAAAACTATTCTGCCGTGCTTTGTTTTAGGAATCCCAACTTCCACCTCCCCGAGAGATTTACTTCAATGTTTTGGCAGAGCTTCTTTCTGTTTTATAGTTGCATCAGACTTTGTATTGTAACCGTAACTTGCTAGCAGATTCTGACTGGAATTTTAGAAACCATTTTGTAGTTTTCCTAAGCTTAGTCCCTATTACAGGAAGGCAGACCTCTTGAAACATATTTAGCTTCCATTAGCGTACATTTTGTTATCACATTGCCATCTCCATCGGATGTCATTCCAGAACAGCATCTGCTACAGGACATGACAAAGTACCTTTAGGTGGCGCTGTTGGGTTGAAAATATCCCAACCAACTCAAGTGTGGCTTTGCAAGCCTTCAGTTTTACAGGTTGCTCAGAAATCTCCTCATACCAGTCTACTGAGGAGGCTAATACCTGCCCTTCTCCTCTCACCCCACACACCCACAGCCTGACACCCTCCCACGGCCCACTGCTAAGCATGCTTCCCAAAGAAGCCCCCACCCCGAGAGTCTCCTCGGAGCCCTTGCTGTTCTTCCAGAGGACCTGAGTTAAGTTTCCAGTATCCACAAAGGCAGCTCACAACCATCTGTGTGTAGCTCCAGCTCCTGGGGATCTGATACCTTTTTCTGGCCCCTTCAGGCACTGGTACATACATAGCAAATACACACCACAGCCAACAACAACAACCAAACTTAGACAAATACTTTACAGCTGAAAAGTACAGCTCAGTGGAGAGCATCTGTGTAGTGTACACAAGGCCCTGGGTTCAAACCCCAGCACTGCAAATAAACAAACACAAAATACATACATAACTGTACATACATAAAATTATACTTTCCAAAATATTTTACTAAAGCATTTATTTTTTAAACAAAATATACATTAAATCTCAGATTTACAGCATATAGAAATAATTTATGATTTGCACTTTAAAATTATTAATATTGCACCCAACAGTGTAAGTCTTTGACACATATGCATTGTCAACCTTTCCCATCATTCAAAACAAAAAGGAAAGTGAAACCTGAAACTGACAAAATTACACAAATTAAATTTTCTGTAAAAAAATGAGAGAGAAAAAACATATAATTCTTCTTATTTACAAGGTAAAGTTGTAAACTTCCTGAAATTTACCTCCAGAGGATAGGCATACATTCTTTGATCATACCTAGACAATGCATTATAAAATTACAATTAAATTTCCATATCCTGTGTACAGAAGATGAACTACACATATGGTTTCCTTTTGGGAATTCACAGACTGACACGAACATTTGCAAGGGAAAAAAATAACTTACTGCAACCCATCTATATCTTCACTAGAGTAGGGAAACTGTTTTGTGGAAAATTAAAAAATGAGGAGTCCCTGAAAAAATAAAGTTACCTTTTTAAAGGATATTTTCCTTAATCACCTAATAGTTTTTCAAAATCAAAAATACTGTTCTTTTTTCCTTAGGCATAAGGCAGATGACGGAGTGAAGTTCCTAAAAGACTTTTATATAATACTTTGTAGGAAGGTGTACATACACATTTTCTTTCCAACAGATAACTGTGTAAAATTGTCCCAAACGTAACATCAGTGCCCTCTGGGCTTTTGGTTTGTTTGTTTAAACTTATCTGTTTTCAACAGGAGACCTCTCCTTCACTTTCAGGAAACATACAGGGAGAAGTTCCCCTGAAGACTCCCTAGCAGGTACATACAGGTTCCAGACATTGTGACAAACAATGTACAAAGTTCACACTGGAGAGCCAAGCAATGGAATCATTCAAGCAAATGCGTACATATAATCTCAATGTTTTAAGTAAATTTGCAAAAGTTATCCTTGGCTGAATGTGGCCACAGGCAGCACTTAAATACATTTTGTAGACCTCTGTCCATGCATCGCTCTCACCTGTTTTGAGTATAGTAGCAGCAGCAGCTTTCCCATCAATGAATATTCAAGACCTGATGACAAAGTGTGTCTGCCCGATAATGCATCCATCCAGTGGCTCATAAGTGCTAATATGCTGTTGTCTTCCAAAGGAAACCACAGCCAAATTTTCAGTAGGCACTTCGTGCTCTTTTCCAAATACTTAATTTTAATTGTGCTCTTTTCCAAATACTTAATTTTAATTGGTTCATTATTGTGCCTATTTATGGGATACCATTGATATTTCTTCCTTTTGGAACTGAAATGGGACCTAAGACCCTGGCTCTACCACCAAACCACAATGTGGCCCTGCCATGGGGTATGTGTATACCGCACAGTATTGACACCAGGGTTTGTCTATTTCTTCAATGTCACTTCTTTGTGTTGAAACCATTCAAATCCTTTTCATCTAGTATTTCAGAAATACACATTCCATTGTCATTATCCATAGTCCTTTACCAAGCAACAAATGCCAAGTTTACTTCTCTCATAGAAACAGAACTTTCTTAATACTAGTTGATAATGCCTTCAGATTTTAAAAATCAATTTTGGAAAATTAAAGTAGGGAGTCAAACCACTTGGTACTGCAGGGAGATACTAAAACATGAAATAGTAAAAATATGCAATATGTTTTTTAGCCTGGTAGTACATCAAAGCCAGAATGAAACATTGCACTTAATCATTCAATCAAGGAAACTTGTTTCAAATTTTATAACTTGGTATAAAGCAACGTGAAGCCATTAGCAAGCTCTGAAAAAGTCACTAAATCATTTTGTGTCAGGTGATAAACATTATGAAGCTTTTGTTACTGCACTTATAAATTAAGAACACTTTTTTTTAAGTGACAAAGTGGGGGTTGGTGCATCTGAGAAATCCATTGTTTGGGGCCACAGATAGGACAGTGTAATTGTAATTTTATAGTGCAGTAGTGTCCATTGAGCTGAAATGGAGAGTTTTCTAAATTCTGCTGTCCTCGATTGGATTAAGACATTCCCTTTGAATCTCAGCAGACATCATCACCTGAATAACAGCTGGTCGCTTGGCTTTGCTACCGCTTAACAGCTCAACCTTAGAAGTTTGTTGTAAAGGTTATTGTCCTCGGTAGCTTTGTGACAAATTCAGTTCGTCTGTGTGTTTTTTAAAAAAAGGTCCTGAGTCTTTCATTTGAAAAAAAAAAAAAGACATTTCCTCAGCGTTCAACTCTCTACTGTTCGTCTGTACTCAGCGGTACCTTCTGCGATGATGGCATCCAGGGGCGAGCGCTTCTTGCGGATGCTGCGGCCAGAGGAGATGAGGTCCGCATAGCCCCTCTGGTGAGAGAAGGCATAGGCCGAGCGCCTCGAAGATGCCCCCCTCCGGAACACATTCTGTGGCCGTTTCCATTGCTCTTCAGCCTTCAATCGCTTCCGATGCTTCTGGATCTGGGTAAAGGAAACCATGAAAAGAAAGGTCTGAGAGGCGGAGGACTCCTGGCCAATAGGAGCTTGACAGAAGCTAGCCCCAGCCAAGAGGCTGTACACCCCTATGCATGCATAACTGTCCCGCTCTGCAGAATAACTGGACATGGAGGACCCAGGAGGTTGGGGACTGCTTCTGTCATCCTGCAAGTAGAAATTGGAAAACTAGCCAGTGTGGTAGCCCCTGGTAATATATTGTTTATGATTTAGTAAAACCACTGGGGATAAAAATGTAAAGCCAGTCACAGCCATAGAGCCAGGCAATGGTGACACACACCTTTAATCCCACTAATGGCACATGGATTTAATTCCTGAACTCAAAAAGTGGAGGTGTCTTGGAGGTCAGCCTGTTCTACATTGCAAGTTCCAGGAAGATCAACTGCCTCACTTTTCCTAAGTTGGTGGTTCCTTTCTGTCAGCTTGACACAATCTAAAGCCATTTAAGAAGAAGTGTTAATTAGGACAATGCCTCCGTCAGATTGGCCTGTAAACAAGTCTATGGGGCATTTTCTTGACTAATAGTTGATACAGGAGGGCCCAGCCCACTGTGAGAGTTCCACTCCTGGGCAAATGATCCTACATAGTGTAAGAAAGCAGGCTGAGCAAGCCCTGGAGAAGAACCAGTGAGCGGGTTGGTTTCTGACTCCTGCTTGACCTACTGCCCTAACTTCCCTCAATGATAGACTGTGACCTAGGTATGAGTTGTAAGCTGAACTAAACCTTCTCTCCAAGACGTTGGCCACGGTACTTATCAGTGCAATAGAAAACAATAGGATAGTACTTTGTGAGTCACAGGGCAAACTGGTACGTAGGTATGTGTTGAAGACAAACCTCTACATGCTTTTCCTGCATGTTACTACATAGTGTGTGTGTGTGTGTGTGTGTGTGTGTGTGTGTGTGCATACACACGGCTATGGAGGAGATGGATATCTGGTGTCTTTCTCAATCACTTCCACCTTAATTTTTGAGGCAGGATTTCTCTTGGAACCAATTCTGGAGCTCACAGATTCGGCTACACTGGATGGCCAGTAAAGTCCTCGGAATCCTCCTGCCTTCACCTCCCCAGCTCTGGAATTACAGGTGCAGGGTGCCAGGTGAAGTTGTTTATGTGCGTGCTGCAACCAGAACTCAAGTCCTCATGCTCGCCCTGCAAGCACTTTATCAACCCAGCCCCAATCTCCCCTCTTGTTTACTGGACACTGAAAGGAGCTTACCCAACATGCACTTCTTGCCTTTCTATAGGATGCTGATTTATACAAGTGGGTGGTCCTTTCCCTACAGTAGCATCTTTCAAAAAACATGAAGCTTTTTTCCTTGCTGGGCATTAGTTCAACAAAGCATACAACCTAACTCTGACAGATGAGACCTGATAAAACTGTGCATTTAAAAGTTCCCAGGATGCTGAGGGAAAGAATGGAAGTCTCCTCTTTTCTCCTGTTTATTATCAACACATCAGATGTGATTCCAGGAATTGCCATAGCCATTTTCTAGCAAAGATGAAATTGATACTGAAGACATTCCCTCAGGAGAGTTATTAAAAAGCAACATTAAACAGCTCACCCAACTGGGCCTGAAGTCTGCTAGTCATTATGCAAGGGGAGATGACATTTTATTTTTGACACACTGTATTAAAGGAGATAATACTTTGCTTTAAATAATGTATGTGTGTGTGTGTGGTGGGGGAACCCAACCCATTTGCATGGCAAAATGTTAAGATAATTGTAAAATGGAAGGGGCAAAATATGCTACGTATGAAGGTTCACTCTCCTTCAAGAAGGAATGAAAGAGAAGTAGTAAAACGACAGAATTCTGATCCGACTTTCCATAAACTGAAAAATCTACAGGAAAGGTAGTATTGGGAAATGCTTTGATTCCTGGAAGGGACACTCAGGTAGGAGGAGAGTAGGTCTGTATCTTTATGTACCTTATCACTTTCTGATGGCCAAATGGTCATTGACAAGAAACGGATGGCAACAACAGGCAATAAACACACCGCAACGGTCAGGATGATGGTCAACCAAATATATGGCTGTCTCAGGGCGTTGGAGGCAGTACCTGGAAAGAACATGACAATGGCTCACAGAGGCATTTTCCTGCTAAGGGCATAGTCTGTCTTCCATACACTGGAGCAGACTGTATAGGGCAACATGTTATAACCAGATTTATCTCCACAAATTGCTCCAGAAATGGACATTTTTCTGCTTTCTGCTTTTGTTTTGAAGACAGCCCTCACCCCCAACTTGGAACCTTCAGGGTGCTAAGATTACAGGTGTGATCCACCAGACCCAGTCATGAATGCATAGTTTGTTGGATTTTTTGTTGTTGTTGTTTGTTTTGTTTTTTTAAAGCCAAAAAAACAAAACAAACCCAGCAAAGCCAAATAAAAAGGGTCAGTTGAGTGCTACAAGTAGATAAACAGGAACAAAAGGGGGAAGATGCTTTTGTTAATGCTGCGCCAATAAACAATGGAAAATTAGAGCTGGGATGCAATTCTCAGGTAGAGCAGATGCTGAGCAAGTGCCAGGCTCTGGGATCATTTAGCAATAGAGACCTCCCCCCAACCCCCAAAAAATGCTATAATAAATAAAACAGCATCCTAGCTGCCAGTTTTGGCTGGAAGCTCCACACAGTGTCCCAAATATTGGCAGCCCACAGTGTTTATATAGGTCATGCCATTTGATCTACTCTGAGCAGTAGAAGTGGCCCTCTGAGCCACACCAGGAAACTGAGTTGAGAACTTATTAAATTTCTCCAAGAAAACACAACTAGAAGTGGCAGCCACAAGATCAAAACCGGCTCTATGACTGGAGCCATGCTTTATGGGCAGAAGCTAGTGATTTGCGGTGTAGGCTTTTACATCAGAAGTAGCAATTCAATTTATAATATGAACAGGTGACCATATACATTTCCCCAAGAGCAAATATCTAGAGGCAAATTTATCACAATGCTTTCTGTACTTACATGAATTTACGAAATTAACTTTTCTAATTTAAACTTTTTTAAAATTAGCACACAAGGTATTGGATATCATCATGGCATTTTGGAAACAGTGTTTTAGGATCTTCCTCCCACTTGTCTCCCCACTATTATTATTAGTCTCCCAGCAGAGCCCTCACTCACGTTTTCTCTTTCATGGTCCCATGTTTCCTTTTGTCCATCTTCCACCCTCCCTTGTCACCTCTCTCCTCCTTTCTAGTTTTTAAAGTTTTACTCATATCTATGCATACGTGCGCACACACACACACACACACACACACACACACACACACACACACACACGAGCAACCTTTGTTTTTAAACTACTAGATATACATTAGATTAAAAAATACTTCATATAGGAATATTCTAAGTTAGCATTTAAAAAGTAAGGGAAAAACCCTAAAATTATGGAAACTAGCTGGGTGATGGGGGTGCACGATTTTAATCCCAGCACTCTGGAGGCAGAGGCAGATCAAGGCCACAGAGTGAGTTCCAGGACAGCCAGAACTGTTACACAGAGAAACCCTGTCTTAAAATAACCAATATTTTTTTTTATGAAAACTAACTCCATCCAGAGATGGAAAGGGTTACCATAGCAACAATCTTTTATGATCCAGCAACTAGCCATAAAGTCCCAATATTCTATTTAGAAAAAAAAGGCTATGGGTTATGGGGATCGTTTTTTTTTTTTTTTTCTTTTTTATCATAAATCCGAACTATTTGAGAGTCTCACCAAATCCAGCGCATGTCTATGTTTCTATCTGTGATATTTACATCAGTTTGGATTCTATCATTTGTCATGTTTTTAAAATATAACAGTTTTATTGATACTTTGAGCATTTCATACAATGTATTTTTTGTTTTGTTTAAATTTACTTTATATGTGCATTGGTATGAAAGTGCCAGGTCCCCTGGAACCAGAGTCACAGACAGTTGTGAGCTGCCATGTTGGTGATGGGACTTGAACCTGGGTCCTCTGGAAGAGCAGTCAGTGCTCTTAACTACTGAATCATCCCTGTAGCCCCATATAATATATTTTGATGATATTCAAACCCCACTCCTCTGACACTTTCCAGATCAAGCCACCCATTTCTTAGTCTTCCCCCCTCTTTAAATAACCCACCTATATCCTCAAGAGCGGGGCATTTACTAGAGCAAGACAGATCTGCCAGGGGTGACACCTGAAAGAAAACTCACACCCAGAAGCCATCAGCTGTCACCTAGCTCACAAACCCTTCTCCACTCCAGGCTAAAATACCCACTGGCTTGATCTGGGGGCAAGTAACCAAAGCTACTGTTAGTTCACAAGGGCAGCGATCCTGTTAGATCCAGAAGACACCATTTCCTCCCTGACCTCATGTGGGTGCTGGGAGTCTAACCCAGGGTCTCTGGAAGAGCAACCAGTGCCCTTACCTGCTGAGCCATCTCCCCAGCCCCTACTCCTGGGGCTTAAGCCATATGTTTTACACAGGTATAATTATTGCTCCCATAGCTTTGTTTATCACTCATTGAACTGTTGTTTCCACACATATATTTCCAAAGGTGGACCCAACTTCTGAGTTCTGGGTTTCCATGGCATTTCTATTTTGATGTTTGATTAGTTAATTTAATATTCTTAAGTCTTTGACCCATTTCTACCCCACCCCCTTTAAAAAAACAGTTAAAACTGTCACAGCAATGCAGTTTTTGTATAAGCAACCTTAGAGTAGAAATACCTGGTCAAAATGGATAAAAAGTTTTATACTTCGTTGTGCATTTTCAGATAGTGTTTTGGAAGGATTATACTGTTCTTTCAGTAATACATATGCACTCAGTTTTTTATAGTTATCATTATTAGGTATTATAGGAGTGGAGGAAAGGTTTTATGTAGCTGCTGCCTCCTCATCCTTTCACTTCCTCTGTGTAGCCCAGCTGGTCTGGAGCTCAATATCTAGACCAGGCCAGCCGTGAACTTGAAGCAATCTTCCTCTGTCCTTATGGGCTTGGATTACATGCACATGCCACTGTTCTCAGCAACTTAATATTTGGTTTAACTTATTATTTTTTAAATTATGTTTTATTTATTATTTTTATTTAATGCAATTTGAATTTCATTTTAATTTAATTGAAAATAGATTTTATATAATATAGTCTAATTAAGGTTTCCCCTTCCTCAATTCCTCCCAGATTCTCCTTATCTCCCCACCCACTCAGACCCACACCATTTCTTTTCTCTCTCTCATTAGAATACAAACAGGTACTTAAAGATATAGTAAAATAAAAACAAACAATCCAAAATAGGACAAAACAAACAGGAAAATAAAAGAACCACAGAAAAATCACAAGAAGCACAGACACACATTCATTCATATGTACAGAAATTTCATGTAAACACAAAACTAGAAACCATAATATATACAAAAAGAGCTGTAATGTTTTAAAACAAACAAACAAACAAAAAATAAACAACAACACCACCAAAAACAAAGCACAGATAAGGCATTGTGATACAAAGAACCTCCAAAAATGTTACTGAGTTCATTTTGTGTTGACCATCTACTGCTGGGCATAAAATTATATTTTAAAATTGTGTAAGAGCTCTGTGTGTGTGTGTGTGTGTGTATGTATGTGTGTAGCCTGCAGAGGCCAGAAGAAGACATGAATGCTGTGGAACTGGACTAAAGCAGGCAATTGGGAACCACCCAGTGTACAGTGATCGGAACTGATCTCGGGTCCTCTGCAAGAGCAGTTTGCGCTCTTAACCACCAAGCCATCTCTTTAGCCCTACCTTTTCATCTTAAAAAAAAAAAAAAAAGCTTAATTGATTTTTATGGTTATTTTCTGTACATGAGTATGTGAGTGCATGTATATGAGCATGTTGTGTGTGTGTGAGTGTGGGTGTTTGTTGTGAGTGCATATGTGCAAATATGTGAGCATGTGTATAAGTGTGTGTGTGAAGACAATTTGAAGGTGGAGGTCACAGGACACTTGTTTTGGGAGTTTGTTCTCTCCTTCCACCATGTGAGCCCCACAGAGTGCCACAGACTTGGTGGCAGGCACTGGTATTAACCTGCTGATTGATCTTAATGGCCCAAGCCTTTTAATCGTTAAGCTATCTAACTTAACAGTTGCAGAGGTATGTCTTAATATGACTTTAACTTGCTTAGACCCTTCCAAACAGCCAGCTCAGTTCAATTCCTGTTAGACTACTAATCTTTACTAGCAAAATTTTATGCTTTATGTACTTTTGAACTTGCCCAGTGATTATGTCAGAATGCAATCTAGTGATGATGATATACACTTACATTTGGGATCTGAGAGATACCAACCTGTGAACTGAAATGCAGATGGAAAGAGCACATGGATCCCCGCGCTATGGAAGTCGAACATGATGCCAAAGTACAGGGCGATGCTTCCAAAAATTGAAAAAGCATTCACAAAGGTCCAGTAGGAAGTGTCCAAGCCAATCTGTTGAGAGACCAGAGAAAAACAGAGCACTCACTTGGGGAATGCAGCAGGAAGAGAAAGGATCTAAGAATTCTGAAAATGGAATTTGGCAATTTGGGTTTGAACAGTCAGCAATCTGAAACCAAACCATCCTTGGCTCAAGCAAGACAGAGGAACTATGCTAAGATGAGGGGCAGAGAGAACATTCTTATTTTTAAAGCGACAGAGGCTAGGTACAGACATGCAGGTAACAACAGATATAGGACATGGTCAAGGGAAGCCACATACCTGGAAGTTAACCGTTATTACTAGAGCTGAGGCCACTGTGACAGCAAAGGACTGGTAGTCTGATGGCGCCTCTCCATCCTGTCCCACTGTTTGTAGGTAAGCGCCAAGCGGTATGAAGAAGAGGACCATGGATGTTAAGACGCCATGCAGCAAGCTGACAAAGAATCTCTTGTAGTTGAACAGCAAGTCCCTCTGCCCCACTATGTACAACCCAGGGAACCGGAGGCTCAGTTTGTCACTCACATCCTTAAAGAGAAAGCAAGATGAGATTGAGGCATTGTTGATCAGGTAAACATGTTGGTCTGTCACAATATGTATCTTGTATCTCACAAACAGCTGCCACTTGCACCTGTGTTTTAGGAGGGCAAAGCAGGAAGCCAGATCAGTGTTTCTGTGTGGAGAGGTCAGTCATAAAGTGCTCACTGGTATTTGATGTTTACAGAGAGTAGCTATGGGGGCTTTATCATGGCCCTAGCAAAGACAATGGATTAGTAATGTCAAAAAATATGTGGAGAGTAATTCTTAACCTCCTGAGATAATGTATTTGTATTATTACAAATGTAGAGGAAGGATACGCAAATAGAAATCGATAAATTAACCCCTAGATACTCCCCATTTATTTATTATTAATTATCCATTTCCTAAGACTTGCTTGTCAGACAAAATGTGATTTAGGAATCAAATACACCAACTTTGGAAAGTGTTAAAATTTAATTTTTAAATCAATAAGTTATTATTGTTAATTAATATCACTAAGTTAATCAACAAGTTATTGCTTTTTAAATCTAAGTTATATAAAACATGCTGGGTTGTCAGGAGTCTGAACAGTCAGATGTCTGCAAGAAACATATAAGCACTCTTGCTAATGATGAGTTACAGAAACTCTTTTCTTGACAGAACATAAAGCAGTTATTGTTGTTTGACAGGTGGACTAGGGTTGACTCAGGATGAGTAAAGCCAGAAGAATGTACTGATGTGTTTGCTGTCATCTCCCTGGCAGTGGATGGGTTTGTCCAGAGCACCCCAGCCCATGACTCCTACCTGGTCAAGCAGCCCCATGAGGAGTACAGGCAAACTGGAGTATAGCACATTGTACAGGGTGATAAACCAGTCCTCATACGCCGTCTGCAAAGGGAGGACAGAGGCTCTGTGTCATGCACAAAGACAGTTTGCAAGTCTGCTTTCTCCATGCAGCATTGTCCCTTGTCAAGTGGGGACGCTGTCCTGAAGAAAAAGCACCCCCTAGCTACTCATGTACAAAATGTGAGTTTGTCTATGCAGTGGGTAGCACCACAGACCTTTCCATAGCAACAGTCCCCTCCATCCCTTTCCTTAGAGGTGTGCATGGGAGCACTACCAGAAGGTTTTGCTAAAGGACTCTATTCTGAGGGATAGTACTAGAAAAATCAGTGTCCATTTAAAAAGATTATACTTTCAAATTATGTGTTATGTGTGTGCATTTGAGTGTAGATGAGTATAAGCACATGAGTGCAGGTGCTCACACATGCTACAGAAGGGCCTCTGGGAGGTACAGGCAGTGTGAGCCACCTGACATGGGTACTGGGAACCAAATTCTGGTGCTGTGTAAGAATGGTGTGTACTCTTAGCCTTGGGACATTTCTCCAGTCATGTTAATCAGTTATACTTCCTTGTTAGTGAATTAGAACTCTGAAACTCAACTGGAATATTGAAAACTTTTCAATAATTAAAAAATACTAAAATAAAACTAGTTCAGGAGGGCTAGCAAGGTGGCTCAGCAGGCAAAGGCCCTTGCCACAAAAGCTGGTGGCCAAGTTTGACCCCTAGAGCCCAGGTAAAGATGGAAGGAGAGAACTGACTCTGCAAAGTTGATTTGCTGACCTCTGTATGGGCACTGTGACACATGTGCACCTACATGCAGAGGTGCATTTACCATCAATCAAAAAAAATGCTTAAAGAACCAGCATTTTATTTATGCAAAAGTTCTACAGAGCAAATAGTTTTAAAGGAATAATGTTCTATTACCTGTGCTGAGTAGCCATTGAAGAAGGAGTACCAGAAATGAACTAAAGTAAACGCAAAGTTCTTGTAAAAGAAGTATCGTAGGAACTTGCACATCCTTATGTAAGACCACCGGCCATGGACCAGCAGCAACCTCTGCAGATATCTGAACTGAGCAAAAGAATAGTCACTGGACATGACAGCTTGCATTCCTTCTTGTCCACTTATTCCAACACCAATGTGGGCAGCTATGGGGCAGAGGGAAAAGAAACGGGAGGTCAGACACTGCTTTTAAGTCAAGGCTTTGAGCGACTTAAGACTTTCCACAGCAGAACAAAAACAAAAGCTCTTGCACGCCATCGCCCACAGCCAGCTCCTGATTCAGTTCAAAGTCAGAGGGACAAGTATGCTAGACCAAGCCCAGATGGGCCTCTGTAAATTCTTGTGATAGGATCTCAGGTGGGTGGTGAATTCCATTTGGATTATCTGCCCAATACATCAGCCATCTCTTCCACCCACAGGGTGAGCCCCAGGCACCCTTATGAGCCCCAGATGAGTCAGCTACATGTCTTATGGTAGACATGCAAAACCAGCCCTGTCAACCTCCATTCTCCCTTTGTTGTAAGTAGAGAAGGCAGGAAAGCAAATAGGTATACTTTCCCATACTACTGCAGTTGGTCTCATTGGGATGGCAGGCCCACAGTTTACATCCACTCATGACTTGGAAACTGAGGTGAGCTGGAGCCTAGAATTTCCTTCCCATCAGATCCCCTGGAACTAGAGTTTGTAAGCTGCCACATGAGTGCTGGGAATTGAACCCAGGTTCTCTGGAAGAACAGCCACTACTCTTAATGTTTGAGCCATCTCTCTAGGAGCACCCCCCCACACACACACACTTTAGACATTTGTGTAGTAGAGTTTGTATCCATTTTCAGCTGCCCAGATATTGATAGGCAACCACAAACGCTTCTTGATTGAGAAACTCTTCAGAGGGACCTAAAAGGTAGAAGCTCCTGTAGTGAGTGTCTTTCTTTTTAGGATCCTGGAATTAGCACTGAGTTGTGCTAGTATCTAGAAATTTACCATGTAAATGATCTTAGTGTGGAATGTATTTATTTTTTTCTGAAGGTTTCTGAGAGAGTAAGAAAGATAGACAGGCAGGCAGGCAGACTGAAAGATACTGGGCTCCCCACATAATTGTAGGTCCTGATTCCAATGTCTTTCTGAAGCCTGGCTTCTTAGTCAAGGTGAGACATCTTTCCATGGTTTTATCTGTTTAAACTGATTTTATTCTGAGATTTTTGTCTCATGTGCTCATATGCTAGTCTCAAACTCTCTATGTCTCTATGTAGTGTGTGACTCCCTCACCTGGTGGCGTTCCATCCTACAGTGCCAGGGTTATGTGGTGCTGTGGGTGTCACCCAGGGCTTTGTGCACGACAGGCAAGGGTTCTACAAACTGACCTACATTTCTCAACTCCTTTATATCCTTTTTAATGAGTTTTATTTTTACCAAGACAGCTTTGTCTTCTAATATTCCTAATCAAAATAATTTTAGCTAATGCCTCAATTTTCAAAGGCCCACTGTGGCTTTAACAAACACACACACACACACACACACACACACACACACACACACACACACACACACACACCAAGCTAGATAATCTGGAATTTTGTTCAGGTCTAAAAAGTTAATGTAAACAGTGACAGTGAAGTCTCTTAGAGAAAATATGTTGGAGGACACACCATCACTCCAACCTCAAGAAGTGACTTCACATTCTACAGTTTCCAAACAGAAGTTTCAAAAATCTGGCCCCAATTTTAAACCCAAAGTATGAAAAATTTAAAACATAACTGAAGGAAATTGTCCAGGCCTATGTTTTCAATTATACTTTGTAGCTCTGAGAGAAAGAAGGGGAGAGGAGGGTATGGGAGGGCATGGGAGGGAAGGAAGAAAAACTGATCTCATTCAGTGATTTACAACCCTTTTCAAAACACACAAATAGTGCGTACAAAGTTGTAGTTGCCAAAATGCTTTCCTCCCAATCCATGGCCTCCTTTGTCTCTGACCAAGCAACAGAGAGAAATGTTGAGATTTCTAGTGGGCTGCCAAGACCCAAGGAAGAGGTACTCCCTCTTAGGCCCTGGCCTCTAGTCCTTCAACTTTTCCATGGAGCAGCGTGTGAAAACGAACACTTATACAGCTCACAGGGTAACTGAGGACGAATGAATTCTAAGGCAAACACTGTTTCCCCCTAAAATCCAAACACAGAACCTAGTACTGTTGTTTTGCTAAAAAAAAAAAAAAAAAAAAAAAAAAAAAAATGTCATCACATTGCCTTGCAAACAATTTATGTTCATTCCCGTAAATCAGTGCTGTGCGCAGCCTTGGTCAGAGATAATTTTGGTTTTGTTTTGCAGTGGGAAGCTGTTGGTGCAGACACTCAAAACTGGCCACAGAGGTGAGAAAAAGTGGCCATTGAATGCCCAGTTCTAAGCGGGACATCTATATTGGGACATCTATTGTGAGACCCTCAAGAAACATGATGGGAAGATGAGGGAGGAAGAATGCCAGAGCTGGAGGATGGGCAGGAGTTCTGTGAAATGCTGCCTTCAAGATACAACATGGCTGTTACATGCATGGACTCACAGCAGGCATGGCCACCTGCATAAGACCTGTACAAGATGAGGGCAGTCAGTAATTCCAGTATGGGTGGGGGAGGAACTGGTAGGGTCTTACCTCTATCCAAGCTGGCTGGTTGATGGCTGATGGGAGTTGGGGAGTAACTTTTCTTCAGGGGTGTTGCTAGCACCTCAGTTTCCATGAAATCCCAAATGCAGTCTAACAACTCACCACCAAACACACCTTCATAATTCCTCTAAACTGATTACTTCCTAAGGCTTCCTGCCTTTATTTCATCTCTCATAATTGATGTGTAATCTCTCTCATAATTGATGTGTAATCTCAGAGTCTAAGGCCAAGAGGGGGCAGCACTCATTCAGCTTGTGTGAGACACTTTCAAGCACAAGACAGAGAAAGCGCAGCCTCTGACAGAGCAAGTGGAATTTTTGCTAGAAGCAAAAGCATGGTGGCATTTTCTCCATTTCTATGAGAGTGCAGGAAACATATTAGCCAATGGTTGGATTACTTTTAATACCTGAGTTCCACTCTACACCTTTCCACATAGTATTCTTTTAACAAGTTATCACCATTCCAAGTGTTTGTGCGCGAGTTCGTGAACATGTGTCCCCGCAAGTGTGAATGCATGCGAATGTTTGTGGTTTTTTTTTTTTTTTTTTTTTTTATGTGTGAAGGTCAGACTTTCACTGTAGGTTTTAGAGCCTGAATTCAGGTCATTAGCCTTGGCCCTAAGCACCCTTTTATGCTGAACCTTCTTGCTGGCCCAGTGTAGATTGTTCTGCTTAGATATTTTATTAATTAGCATACACAGCATTTGGTTCTATTATGGCATTTTCAAACAAAATGTGTTTCTGTTGGTTCTCTCCCTACTCATCTTCTTTCCTATTCCCCTAACTGCTACCCCCCCCCGTACCCTCCTTCCTGCCCTCATAGCCTCCATTCTATTTAAGATCCCCTCCACTGTCCTCAACACCTCCTCCCCAGCCTTTCTGATGACCTTCTTTCTAACATCATAGCCTAACCTACACAAAGCATTACATGCATGCATATGAACATTGTAAGCTGGAATCTGCATATGAGAGAGAACATGGGATTTTTATCTTTCTGTATACACTGTTCTTGATACAGCAGAAAACTTTTACATAACACCACACATACACACACACACTCACGCACGCACACTCACATATGTACCCATTTAACATATAATAATGTTAATAAAAATTTTCAAACTTGGGCTACCCAGATGTATTAGTGGGCTAAGGGTGATTGCTGCCAGGACTGATGACCCGAATTCAATCCCCAGGACCTACATGGAAAAAGGAGAGAACTTACTCCTGAAAGTTGTTCTGTGACCTCCATATGTATGTTACTGCCCATGCTCACACATATACACATGTGCATACACACACACCCATACACACACACACATACATGCATGCACACACATACTAAATAAATAAATGAAAATTTTAAAGTAACTTCAGAAAAATGGGCTTGCATGAGGATTATCTATGTTCCCTTACTTTGCACTCTCGAAGGCAGATGGCAAACCCAAGAAAAATTTTGAAGCCTCCATCATGAATAAAATGACAAGTTTGAAAGCCCCCCCCTTCCAGGACATCAAGGGGTCTACCTCATAACTGAATAGAACTCACGTTTGAGTTACTCTTTTGACACAGGTAGTTACAGTCATGTCAGGGTACATGATGGGAAAATAATTCAAAGCTGGCCATAAAGGAAGGAGAAATCCAACTCAGAACATCTGGGTGACATCTGGGTGGTGGGCTGGGCAGAGCAGATAGCAGAGGGAATGAAACTAGCAGTGGCAACAGACAGGCGCATTGGTAAAAAGCAAGAAGACATACGTCATACAGACGGCTCCTGCTGAAGAAGACAGGGTTGGGAGCCTCAGCACAAACCAAGGAGGGAAGGAGGAGACTCTGAGGAAAGAAAGAGATAGACTTGTGAGTCATAAACAGGCTGAATTAATTCTGGTCCTATGTGATGCACTTAAGTTCCCCAGCACAACATTAAGAAAAAAGTCATGTGTGTGTATAGTCATGTAATGATTCACCTTAGTGAAAGTGTGAGAGGACAGAGAGGATACTTTCATTATTTCAGACGAGAAAATGGGCCTGAGCCAAAGCCCCAGCTGATGCAGAAGTTTGGTAGTAAGAAGAGAAGCAATACTCAGCTCAAGACAGCTTGGGTGTTTTCATAACCTTTTAGAAGCAGAGAATCTGTAATTTAAAATCTAAAATGCTCCAGTGTGTGAAAACAACTGAACACCATGTAAAAAAAGTGAAATCCATGCAAATTTTTTCCAAAATGGAATATCTCCAAAATCCAAAACACTTTTGCTAAAAGATAATCTACTCATGGTTATCTAATAGGTAGAAAAAAAAAAAAAAAAAAAAACCAGGCTTCCAGGATTGGAGACACAGGTGAGGACCAGAGGGTCTGGTCTTTCCGCTCTAACACCACTGTAACGGTATCTCTTTATCACAGTCCTTCAGCGGCGAGTAGCTAGTAGGACTCTCCAACTGGAGAAAAGACTGTGGTAGGGGGAGCGAGACCATGAGATTGTGGTAGAATGTTTTCTTCAGGACTTAGAAAGAATAACATCCTCAAAAAGGAACACTAGAGAGAGTTAACAGTTCTTGCTGAGTGCAGCAAAATCTCTTGCAGAATTTATTACATATCAAGGGCTTTTATTGCATTAAGAAAAAAAATCAATTTTATTTGCAGAGCTCCTAAATTTTTAATCAGGATAGAAACAACAGTTAAAAATATTAAGCCTTTTTGATAAGTCCTTAAAAATACAGGAAATGAGCCATCCTGAAAGGGGGAAAAAAATAGGCCACATAAGGAAACGATGATTTTCCCAGCTACTGCTCCTCTCCTACTTGACATTTATTGAGTCCCATGCCTGCTGGACATACTGCAGGCTTCTTGAGGGTAGGTCAAGGCAGGGCATGGCTAAATGCCTTCATGGACGCCTGCCTTACAAAAGAAACAATTCCTCACATTCCTACCACTTCTGTCCTGCAAGGTGGGTGCCACACAACTCACTTTTGATCATGTTCACGTCATTGGCCCCATCTCCGATGGCCAGCGTGATGGCCTTCTTGTACCTCTTCACCAGATCTACCACCATGGCCTTCTGCTTGGGGGTGACACGGCAGCAGATAACAGCGCTGCACTCGCAGGCCAAGTCCACAAAGTTCTTCTGCCTCCGTTCCTTCTTCTCTTCCAGCCTTCTCCTGCTCTGCGTCCGAATCCGTCGCTCTTCCTCTGTCCTTGGGAACTTCAGCTTTAGGATCTTACTTCTCTTGGACTTTTTCTCTAGAAGGATTTCATTCTGTGACATCAGAGGGAGACAAACATCACCCATCCCTTTAGTGTTGACACCAAGAGTACCGGCTCCCAAGACTTGAGTCATGGGAAGCAAAGTTCATGCGTTTCAACACTGATTATTTAGCTCTGATTAAAAACAAAACAAAACAAAACAAAAAGACGTACAATATGCATATAGGAAATACATGTATCTTTAAGGGGAAAGTGGAAATTCTCACTTGTGGAAATAATTTCACCACTTTGCTCTAATCCCTTTTAGCTATCCTCTAACATTAAAACTAACACTTAGAAAAGCCTGTTTTTATGGGCTGAGAGACTTTTAGATTGGTAGGCAATTAATATGCAAAGCCATCAAGAATGGCTCCAGGAGACTTGTTTGAGTGACAGATGAAGACTCACAACTGATACACACCAACCAAGAGCCAGTGATGATTAAGGCGCGGTTTTCTCCAGGCGGAAAAAAAGGTTCATATGCAGGGGGTACAAACTTGGAAGACACTCCACCTCTGTTTCTCTGATTCTCCATCCTTGTGTGAAGAAGGGAGCTACAGGAGAATAAATTGAAGCATTTAAAACTCATCACTATAAAAGGCTCTAGATTGTAACTTTTCTTTTTTTCAGACAGGGTCTCACTATGTATCCCTGACAGGCCTGGAACTTGCTATGTAGACCAATCCCCCTGCCTCTGACTCCCAAATGCTGGATTAAAGGTGTACATTACCATGCCTCGCTCTAGACTTTAATTTTGGCATCACTTTAAAAATCATGTTGCAAAAGTACCCAGCATGGCATTTTATCACACTGCTGAGTGTGTTGTTCAGTAGTGTCGAATCTATTCACATTGTCGTGGGGTCAGCCTGTCTTGTGATGCTCACTTGTTTTTGTGACTGGCTTGCATCACTGATATCTTCAGGTTCACCAGTACTATACAATATGTCATATTATTTCCTTTCCAAGGATGAGTGATATTCCATTGTACGGATATGTTTACTTTTGTTTATCCAACTTGTTCCATAATGGACACGTGGGTCTCTTTTGCCTCTTGATTATTAGGAACAATGCTATATACAGGTGCTTGGGCATATATGTTTTTAATTCTTCTGAATAGAAACCCAGGGTAGGACTATTGAACAATATGAAAATTCTATTTTTAGTTCTCTTAAGAAGACCCATATGGTGGCCCTATGCTTTTCACACCACTGACATGCATCAGTGTTCTGGTCCCCCTCACAGTCTCATGAGAACTTGGCAGCCACACACATTTAATCCCACTGCTCCTGGACAGGTGGGCAAAGATGTCTGCTCTAAAAGCCTGAAATTGGTGGCCCAGGACCCATGGAGCAGTGGAAGGAGAGAACTGATCTGCCCAGTTGTCCTCTGACATCCACATGTGTGCCATGGCATGCGCATGCATAGGGATGATAATAATTAATTAGATAAAAGACTTAGAGGATTGGGTATGTATTAACTTCCTTTCACATCAATTTAATTCTCACTTTTAAGTTCTAAAATGAGAGAGTATAGGTCATGAAAAGACCTGAGCAGGGCATGAAGTTGCCTATTCAGACTATTTGATAGGAACCATCATTTCAAAGAACCATTTTGAAAGATGGCTCATCACTCCATCAATGGAAAGTTGGCTTCGAGAAATGTTTATAAAATTTGGTTGTTTGGATAAACTTTGTTGTTTAGTTTGGCTTAGGCCCAATCTGACACTTCCAAAAGAGCAACTGGAAAATTATTCAGCCCCGTCTCCTCCCCGTGTATAAAAAGTAAATAAAACCATATGGTACGTAAACCAAATTGCTTGCAATTAAAAACTACTTAAGGAAACATGCTTACTGGTATTTTAAAAAGTTGCCAATTCAAAGAAGCATGGTTTATGTGCTTTTATTCAAGCAGAAGTGATTTATAACATATGGCCACTAACTTTGTCTAACTTAGCAAACTGCCTAACACACTGGAATAGCTTACAGAGTTGACTGTCTGCATTGGAAAGGCCCATCAACCCCCTCCTGTGTGAGGACACACAGCAGATGTGTATGAACAGCTTAATTTGCCTTTGTGCTACTAGACAAGACTGTGATTAAAAAGCTTGAGGAATAAATGGAATGATTAAGTCGGCAGTAAACGCGTCACAGGAAGCCTGTAGCTTGTAACAAGACTGTACCTTTCCATTACTTGTTTCTAGGCCTGCCAGAACTGATTAGGGACTAATGAATGTTCCAGCACAAGCCAAGGCTTGAAATAACAGGTGCACTCTCCTTAGAGACTACCAATAAATGGCCTACCTACGTGACATAACTCACCAACACTTTCATTGTGGGACAACTTTTATTTTCTCTCTTATGTCTCTTTCAAAAGATGAAGTTTCCAGAAAAGGACATAAAATAATTCATATTAATTTGCTGGTAATGGGGCTGCAGATGTGGGTCAGTGAGTAGGGATTGCCATATGGACATGAAGACCCGAGTTTGAATGCCCAGCACCCATGCAGACAGCTGGGTATGGCTGCATTGCATACTCCTGTACTCCCAGTGCTGGCTCACTTTTTCCCAGTATTCAAACAGGAGATTTCCTAAGGGATAAAGAAAAATGGCTCCTTAGAGCTCTTGGATCCCCTAAGACTGAAGTCTGTTCAAAATGAGCTGAATCATGATAACATGGGAATATCTATTTCATTTGAGCATGAAAAAGAGACCCAAGTACACAATCTAGCTCCATTTTCTACATCTAGTCTTGACTTTGCTAAAAATAACAACAACAACAACAACAAAAACCAAGCTACTATATCCTCTCACACTGCAGGCTCAGTACTTACCTGTATCTTCCCATAGTGCGTACTACTTACATCCACCCATAGTGTGTACTTACTTTATGTCCTCCCCATAACAGATAGTAGTGTCTTCTGTCAGAAGTTCACAGGCAAAACCTATGTTTTCAGCAGTTTCTACAACAAATTAAAATTAAGCCAACTGTTATTTCCACTTATCTGAACCATGTTGAGTATCCCTTATCTGAAATGCTTAGGACCAGAAGTGTTTGTGATTTGAGACTCTGGAGTGTACCGTACACGTGTTATCTAGAGGATGGAATGTAAGTCTAAACATGAAGTCACTTGTACACACACAGCTTGAGGGCAATTTTATACAAATCACTTATACAACTTTATACAAATCACATGTGTTTTGACCATGACCTATGTATCAAGAGGTCAGGTGACAACATATTAGAACTCAAAGACTTCCAGATTTTAAGTACTTGAGGGATTCCTTGATGACATTTTTAAGTCATAATTCTAGCCACATTCAACCAAAAACACTGTTTTTCAGTAGCAATGTATAGAAACTACATAAAAAAGAAAAATATTTTCCTGTAATGAAATAAGTTAGAGTCAAAGTCTAGCTTGAAGCACTCTTAATAATCAAGTGTAGTACCGTGTCATCAAGCTCAGAAGTTGGTTACATAATGAATCAATGTCCATTAAAACACTAAACACTCAGATTCGGTGGCTTAATTACATGGTAAAAGGGTGGGCAAGGATGACTGATTCCATGAACACTCACATCGGGCTGCTACTAAAGACCCCTTTCCTTCTTTCCATTAGCATCTATTTGGTGTTTGTCAAAGGCCTGGCCTGTGCTTATCTTGGGAAGAGTGTTGGAGCAAGAGACAATAATTTCCTGAGGAAGGCTTGGAGGATGAGACATCAACTCCAATGATGACTAGTTCAGTTCTCCGTTTAAACACCAAACAATTTTCCAGCAAATAAAATGTTTGTTATTAATTTTCAAGACATGAAATAGGCAGGGAAACCAATACTGCTGTATTAACTTGTGTATTGTTTTAGTCTATGTTCAACAAATGGCAGAGTGCTGGAGAGAAAGGAGGGACAGGGGCATGGACCTTCCAGGACAGCAGCTCACTTCTGGCTGGAGAGATAAGACAAAACCAGGCTTAAGTCCTAAGAAGCAAGCTCTGCTGCTGAGGGAGTTCAGAGTCCTGGCCTGTGTGGGCTGGATAAGGAGGAGAGGTCCTAAGAGGAGGGAGCACCTCCATTCCCACAGGGCGGGAAGCCTATGAAGATCATCTTAGGCAAAAGAATAGCAGCTATAAATATTGCCACCTAGCCCATACACCCCCCCCCCCACATGGTGGATTACCTTTTTTGTCTCCTGTTAGTACCCAGATCTTAATGTCAGCTTTTGCAAGTTTTGAGATGGTTTCTGGAACTCCATCCTGTAGCTTGTCTTCAATAGCAGTAGCTCCCAAGAGCTGAAATAGATATTAAAAATAATAGCATGTAAGAAGTGTCTTTAACTGCAGCTTTCCTGTTTCTAAAGAAGAAGAAGAGTAATCATGCAAAGCTGACCAGTGCTCTGATGATGATCGTACTACCACTATCAAAAGTCGGGACATTGCACACTTGACTCAAACCAAAGCATTCAAAACTGCTTCAGCAGGATTTAATTTACCGAGGCAGAAAGGCCAAGTACAGACCCAGGGTGTGGGGCCTCATCCTAAAAACTCTAGCACTAAAGAGACAGAGGTAGAGCACTCACTCTTAAGTTAGAGGCTAGCCTGGGCTACATGGTGAGTTCCTCCCTCTCTCAAAACAGAAAAGTACAAGCACAAAGAGATACTAAAGATCCATGTTCATTGTGTTGGGGGCTGTGTGAATGAACATCTGTTTCTCAAGTTAACGGTGGTACTACCCTTTGGTTGACTATTTCCCACTAATATAAATTTAAGAAAACCATGTATGACTTTCAAAACATTTTAATTATTTTGATAAAAGCTTTACTACAACTTTAATTAAATGGCTTTAGTAATTCCCTCAATGAAATCACTAAAACACTAGAGGGTTTTTTGCTTATTTTTGCTTTGTTTTGTTTTATTTTGTTGTGTTTGCCATTTAGTGGGAAATGAAATTTCTGCATTGCTATGAGTTCAAGACCAACCTGAGTATTAGGCCAGCCAAGCCAGTAGCAAAAAACAGAAAGAAAGGTGTTTTCTCTTTTGGCTTTCGTTCTGTGATACCAAATTTTATTCTGTTTGCTGAACAAGAAAAATTCAAATGATATACTGTTTGTAGCAACTGTACCCATCAAAGAGTTATCTCTAAACCATGATATCAATGATATGACAAAATACAAATTTAAATTTGTTTGGAACGTCAAAGAGAAAGTTATCAGCGCTGAACTCACAATCAAGTCCTTCTCAATCTCTTCATACACTTTATCCAAAGCTTCATCCCGGTTGGTTGAGGCTACGCTGGCAGCCATAAACTTCTTATTCCACTCTGCAAATTCTTTTTCTCCAATTTCCTTGTAGCACAGGCACAGGGTTCTGAGAGTTTCACTAGCAAAGATCTGTTTTATTTACAAGACAAAAATCCACCTTTCAAAAATTTCATTCTTAAAATTACATTTATACCGTGTGCATGAGTTTGTGTGTGTGTGTGTGTGTGTCTATCTCTCTGTGTATATGTCTCTAAATCTGTTTGTGTATGTCTGTGTATGCGTGTGTATGTCTCTCCCTATGTGTCTGTGTGTCTCTCTGTGTGTGTGTTTCTATTTGTGTGTGTGTGTGTCTGTGTGAGTATGTCTCTATATGTATGTGTGTTTGTGTGTGCATGTGTGTGTGCCTCTGTGTGTGTGTATGTGGGTCTCTCTGTGTGTCTTTGTGTGTGTGCATATGTATGTCTCTATCTGTTTGTGTGTCTGTCTGTGTGTGTATCTCTGTGTGTCTGAGTGTGTGTGTGCATATGTATGTCTCTATTTGTGTGTGTCTGTGTGTGTGCATATGTATGACTATCTGTATGTGTGTGCATGTGTATGTCTATCTCTCTGTGTGTGTGCATGTGTGTATGTGTCTCTCTGTGTATGTGTGTGCATGTGTGTGTCTGTGTGTGTGCGCATGTGTGTGCATATGTGTGCACGAGTTACAGCAAAGGCATCAGAGCTCAGTGATCCAATGCTTTGCTTCATTACTGTGACATAGAGAAAATGCTTTCTTTCCTTCACTCTATATCTAGAATTTGATAAAAACTCTTGGCAACCACAAAGACATTAAGTCTACAGCTAAAGGCAGTTGGCTCCTTGCACAAAGTCCCTGGGAGAGTCATGAGCCATTATTGAATCAGCCCTGAAGACTTGGATGCTAAGAAATGGTTTCACCATCATTTTCTAGGATACTGGCAGCATGAGTGAAGCCATCACCCATCATGTTCCTACTTTGGTGTTCCCAGTCCATGACACCAAAGCAAGGGGAGGGCTAATTAACAGTGAACACAGCTATCACATGGCTGGAGAGACAGTCCCAGAAGGCAAGAGGGGAGGCTCTAGCAGAAAGAGCAAGAGTTAGACTTACATCCAGGGCATCCTGTGTTTCTTGCTTCATGGGATTCATCTGATGGAGCCGTTCGTAAATGACGGTGTCGGCGCCTTTACAGTATAGCCTAATACTACCTTCAGGGGTTCTCACTGGTAGCAAGGGAAGGAAAGCAACAATAAAGTTAGATTGATATGTACATATATGCATATACAGGTATATATCAACTACATTGATCACTTGACCTAGTGTGCCCTCAATAAAGTTGGCAAGCTGCTAACTACATTGAATACAGCAGTGAAATATAGAAACATTCACCCAAGATCAGCTCAGTTTTCTATGCACTTACAGGCTCCATGTGCAATGTCTTCCACAGAATTTTCCTTGTCCACACTAACTGATAGGAATCGTCCCTACCTGTCTTCGAGCTCATACCATTTACTGCCTCTAACAAAGGCTCCTGTGACCACTGTCTTATATTGTTTGACCTGTACAACAATAGAATCAGAGAGTATGCTCCATTGCTAAGTTCTTTGAGGTAGGTATAAGGAATAATTATCAGTCCATATTGGTGAGGCACCCAGAAAGCACTAAGTAAAATATAACTCCAATTGTTAAAACTTGAGCACCATGATGGAATACATCTCAGCCAAGCAACCATTATCATCTATGAGATAAAACTTCAGGTGACTTTGGAGGGTGACCTTCTGAGAACAGTACAGTATCACTACATAACTTCTCCCCCACCCCAACATTAAGATTAATGGACAGCAGACAAACCCAAAATAGGGACATTCTATAGCAAAACTGGCCTTTGCTTTTTAAAAATGCCAATATATGAAAGGTCCAGGAAAGGATGAAAAACTGTTTTGTTTTTCTTTTCTTTTCTTTTAAAAATCATGATTATCTAATTCAATGTTTGATCTCTGAGCTCAAGACTCATACAAATGGTCGGAGGAAGATGGAAGATGGAAACAAAGAGGAGGGGACCAGAACACAAGATAGTTCCTGATAAGATCTGAAAATGTCTGCATGTCACCGCTAGAGAGTGCAGGCACAAGTTTCTAATTCTGTTCACTCATATACATCTAAGGTTCTTATTGCCAGGGAATGTCACTACTGTGTATATATGGAAAAGGAACATTGGACCTGTAATTTACTTTCAAGTAGTCCAGAAGATAGCAACCTGTGTCTATAATGTAACTGTAGACAATGTTAACAACTAGTGGATATTAGAGAGCACACAAAAGTACCACCAACCATCCTTGTAATTTTCTTATAGGTTGGAAATCATTCAAATCTAGAATGAGGCTGGCCCGTTAAAGAGCCTAGACTGGAGGTCAGGTTGAGATTCATGGGTACAGCCTTTCCTACTGAGGCCTCCCTTTCCTGGCCTCAGGCAAAGAAGTGTTGGGAGAGGACCCAAAATTAAAGAACAGGCCCAGGGCAGCACTGTTGGATGTCTCCAGCCACTATAGACTCAGCTGCTTGAGGCCTTATGGCTTGAGAATGTCAACAGAATTTCAGGATTCATGAAAGACAGAGGGAGTAGTAGGAGAGTGATGAACAGAAAAACCAGTTTCAGTAAATCTGGATGCCTTTCAGAAGTCAGTTATTCATCTATGTCCACACTTACTCAAGCATCACTGAGTAAAGTGGAGAAAAGCACATGGAGTTGAAGGAGTCATAGAGCCTGAGGTAGAGACCCACCGATGATAGACATCCGCTTCCGGTCACTGTTGAAGTCCAAAATGGCGAGCACACTATAGGTCCTTTCCGTGCCCAGTTCACTGACGGTGATTGTGTTCTGTGTCCTGGCGAGGAAGGCAAAGCCAAAGTTCCTGGCAGCATTTACCAGGGCACCTTCATCAGGAGAGGCTGCCTGGTAGTTGATCTGCCCTGGGGAGGGAAGCAAGAGAGAGTTGCCAGAAGATCTGTGGACCAAAATTGGAAGTCATGCCTGAGTTCTGTACTCAGTGCCCTCTGCATGGTCCTGCTTATCATAGAGAGAACAAGTCAGTGTGGTTGTGAAAGGCTACACAGAAATCAAAACATCATTAACTAAGTTCCTTTCAAAATTGAAAGCGGAATAGTGTGTGTGTGTGTGTTGTAGGATTCTCAGAATCCTACCATCTAGAAGAGAACACTGCCAACATTGTCACTGTCTCTCAGGCCTCTGCATATGACTGTGACACTAACACACTGGATGGATATTTACAACCTGATTTTTCTTTTTTCAGTGTCAGATTTTGAGCCCATTGGCATATCTTTAAAGATTCTTCATAATGCCAGGCAGTGGTGGCACAGCATTTAATCCCAACACTGGGTAGGCAGAGGCAGGTGGATCTCTGTGAGTTTGAGGTCAGCCTGATTTTCAAAAAGAGTTCCAGGACAGACTCCAAACCTCCAAACCCTGTCTCAGAAACAAAAAACAAAGATTCTTTGTAAATATTTTACTGACTATAAAACTGTTATTCTCTTCTCTCATGGGCACTTGGTTTATTTCCAAACTCTCTGGCCCATAAAAATAAAATTATTGTAATTATCGAATGTGCATGTGTGTAATGTGTGTGTGTGTGTGTGTGCACATACACATGTGTATGTTTTATAAACCTGAGTGTTCACTATAAGGACCTATTTACTGAGCTGTATAATGTATATATGCCTGTCACATATTATGCTTAAAAGCATTTCCACAGAAAAAGGCATTTAGTTTTCCAATGAGAAAGCAGGGCCCAGGTGTGCTGACAGCATCTCCTCCTTTCTCCAGTCTACCTAGAAGGGTAGGATGTTCCAAGGAAGGCAGCCATAGATGGAGCCCTTCCTCCCATGTTAGCTCAGAGAATTCATTCCAATCACATCAGCATCTTAGTTCATCTTAGTTTGTTTCTTTCAACCTTGGCATGTGGTGTGTGTGTGTGTGTGTGTATGTGTGTGTGTGTGTGTGTGTGTGTGTGTGTGTGTGTGTGTGTGTTTGGGGGTTAGTTCATGCTATCTCCAGAACAGCTAGAACTACAGACATCACAGTCCCTGCTTATGCTAATACTAATCACCTTCCACTTAGCAGTTAAAGGTGGCATTATAGGCTATTTTTCTATTTATTCATCCAGAAAGCCAGACTATGTCTATGGCCATAGACTAGAAGCCATGTAGTGTTTGCTACATCCAAGCACTCTACAAAGACACAACTGCCAGTTCTGACTGTTGACCCAGTGCTATGCAAGCAGCAGTGAGAACAAAGCACCTCTCTTCATTTTACCTTTGCCGGAACACAAATATCTGCCACAATATTGACAGAAAGGAAACAAATAAGGAAAGGATAAATTCTCCATGCTTTGGGCAATCCTAACTGCAGCCCAAGCCTTGATGTTTTGATTACCAAAAAGGAAAATTGTGGAACCACAGACTTGGCAAGTAACAGGGAAGGGAAGGACACCTGAAACCCCATCTGACCCTCATTTTACATCTGCTGGAGAAATGTGAGGAGCAAAGACTCCTCTGAAGAAAGCTTACTTTAATTGTATTCCTAGAGGCAACCCAAAAGCTTTTCTTAACAGACTCATCTATGGATGAGGATGGTGTCACAATAAAAACAAAACTGTAGAGCCAGAGAGATGGCTCCAGCCACTTCTTGTTTTTACAGAGGACCTGAGTTCAGATTCCAGCAGCCACATCAGGTGGCTCACAAGTATCTTAACACCAGCTCTAGATGATCCAATGCCCTCTTCTGGCCTCTGTGGTCATTGTGTTTACATTCTCATTCTTTACCCCCTCTCTCTGTGGATACCACATTTACATTCTCTTATCTGTCTGTCTACCTATCTGTCTGTCTGTCTGTCTGTCTATCTATCTATCTATCTATCTATCTATCTATCTATCTACTTATCTCTTTACCTGTCTGTCTCTCTGTCTCACTCCCCTCTCTCCTCTCCTCTCTCAACTAAAAATTGAACACATGCACACACACACACACACACACACACACACACTCATGTCCTTTTTAGCTGCTTCTGGCCAACAACAATACCACAAACCTTCCTACAGTCACAACTTTCTCATTCTTTGTGAGCATCTTACAATAATATAACACCCCCATACTGACCCCAGAGTTCCCATAATATCACATTAAGGGATGCTTAGATCTTCTATGAAAACTCTATGAGCACTAGATTAAACAGCACCAGGTGAGACAGGCTGCACGGCAGTTTTGGATTCTGCTTCCTTCCATGCAGCCTCTGTGGGAACAGAAGTCTCCATAGCTGCAAGGTTCCCATCATAGTAGCATCATTCACTCTCTTCCAGTCATTCACTAAGCACCAACCTAGGCATCACTTTGATTTGGATTCAACAGTAGGTCCTGATCAACCGACTTTAGGAAAGTGATTATTACCAGGAATGTAGCTCAGTGGTAGAACACTTGCCTAATATATCCTAGGCTTGATCCTCCACCCTGCAAAGAAAGAAGGAAAAGACAAACAGCTTGCCGCCACAAACCAAAAACAGAACAACCAGGTGTTCTGCAGCTGGCTATGCGACCTGTAGAAAGGACATAGCAAGAGAGAGTTGGAGCCTGGAGTGAAAATGAACCAATTCACAAGGACTGTGAGCAAAGAACAGCCCTAGCTATAAGCTCACAGAGAAATGAAGACCTCAGACCTGCAACTACAAGGAACTGAACCTTGGCCCAATCACCGGGCTTGGAAGAAGATGCTGAGTGTCATGTGAGACCATAGTCCCATTGTGATCATAGTGAGATGCTAAGTAGAGACCCCAGTCACGTAACACAAAACGTCTGACTTCAGGAGCTGTGAGATAAGAAACAGATGTTTCAAGCCGCCTCACTGCAATAATGGATTACAAAGGAGCAGGAAACTCATGCAAGTTATCACCACCCAGAATGCCTTCTGAGGAAGTCAAATGTCCAGGGCCATACATATAAAAAGACTTCCTCTTCATACAAGGATAATTTTCAAAAGTCAATCTCTATTGTTCTATGGTGACAGGAATCAAACCCAAGGCCTTACACATGTCAAGTATGTACTCTTTCATAATATTCCTACCCACTGCTATCCTCATAAAAGACAGACACAAGAACAAAAGAAGACACAAGCCAAAGAGACAGCCATATGGATGCCCTGCATCTGAATCTGTTTATCACAAAATCTGGTCCCTGAGACCCCTTCCGAAAAACTCTCTCATGGTTCTCCTCTGGATCAAAATCCAATTTCTTCACTAAAGTCCTGCACCTCAAAATGTCTTGTTTTGCCGTGACTTCTATTTGTCATAGACAATTGCTTGGAATGTTCAACCCTTCAGCTCAGCGGACAGTGGAGCACACTGTGGTGGGGTCGTGCTGGAGAGAACTTTGAACCACATTTCCCACAGCACTGATGAAGAAAACGGTGGCCGGTTAGGGACTAAACCAGGACTGACTCATCTCTGACATGCACTCCGAGGCTTTGCCTGTTGTTAGTCCAGTGAGGACAAGCAAACAGACTTTACATGTATGTACATTTGTCTAAGGGCTCAGTTACCGCCCAAATTGTCACCACACATTCCAACAAGAACCCTACCAATGAATCAAGACCTAAGAGAACAAGTGTACTTAAAAAGATCCCACTTTATTCTTGTTATAAAAGCCAGATTTGCTTGTCTAATCAGACTACAAACCCCACTTTGGCATTTTTCCCTCCCTTCTGTTATTCCTCACTCTGCCACAGACAGTCCCTCCCCCACACCCCTCCCATTGGAATTGTGCCATTTCGCTCTACTGAACTATTCATTTCACCCTTGGAGAATGGATTTCTTTGAAACTTGCTGAGAGATATTTTTACACATATGCCTTCTCAGGAGTGTTTGATGTCACTACATAAGAAACATCAATGTTGGGACTCCATCAGGAGTCACTTTCCTGTTCTGTAGGCACCGAAGTAAAAAGAGAATGGAGTGGATGAGAGAAGTGAGGGCAGACTTCTGCATTGGGGGTCACACCAAAAGCATTCCTTTCACTCTTCCCACAATGCATTTGTCTACCCAGAGGGTTTATGTCCACACATGATGAAATAACTAGTGTTTTCTGACACTGGACAGATTTCCTCTGACAAAACAAGCACAGACTGCAGTAAGAGTTCTGCAAAAGAACCTAAACTCCTTGCTGCTCTCTCATGAATCCTCATTAATTTTGATCCATCAAACAAGAAAGGAGGCCCAGGATTTAGCTTATCTTATTCAAGCTCCAAATATTTTAATCTAGAGAACAAAAGCAGACATCTGGAAAAAAAAATTAGTAGAAGACAATGCTTAATTTTAGCATTCATTCATGATACAGATAAGGCCTGATTATACATTCCCAATGAACATTTGTACAGTGAAAAGGTCTAGGTTATTTTATTCAATAGCCAACCATTTAAAGTACATTACTAAATAGATATATAGTGTGTGTGTGTATGTTGTGTATGATACAGAACACACACGGAGGTCAGAGAACAATTTTTAAGAGTTGATTCTTTCCTACCTTGTGGGTCCTGGGGATCAAGCCCAGGTCGCCAGGCTTGGCAGTAAGTGTCTTCACTGGCTGAGCCATCCAACCAGGTCAGCAACCATATCTTTTAACAGAACTTCATTTACAAAGTGATAACCCATTCTGAGCTATAATTAAATCAGTCATCAACTTTGAGAAGTAAGATGTTTTTGTGGAGCTCAGAGAAACATTTGTCTAGCATACAAGCACTTTCCAAGCCTAGTGCTAGCCCAGAATGAAATGAAATAAAATAATTTAAAGACAATAATAAGGTTTCCCATGCTATTTTCATGTTACTTCATACACATTTAGTGTCAGGGCTCACAAATGGCCATTGCTTGAGTGCATGTGACAGACTTGGCATTTGTTACACTTGAGATACACTTGAGTCTTAAGACGAGTCACTGCCAACTCCAAAGCTGGCCTCCAGTGTTCGGGACACCAGAGGAACACTCACCATCAATTCTGTCCACCATGACCGTGTGGCAAATGGAAAGCAAGAAGAAGAACTGGCGGACTTCTGGCTCTTTCCCTGACTGGATTTGTTCAATAAGATAATGGTCATAAAATGCAAGCTTTCCATCAGCAAACATGTTCCAGCTAAAATCCACCAGCTGAAAGAAATGGAGAGAGAAAGAAATGAAATTAACGAAAATTATATGTATTAGGGCCAGCAAGATCATTCATGTGGTAAAAGCACTTGCTATCAGGCCTGACAACCTGAGTTTGATACTGATACCTGGGATCCACAGAGTAGAAGGAGAGAATCAGTTCCTGCCAAGTTGCTCTTTAACCTCCACACATGCACTGTGGTGGCATACATGTGCACATGCATATGCATATATACACACAAAAATGTTTTAAAAATCTGTATCCATAATTGATGTTACCTTTTCTTTGTAGCTAAGTTTTCAATTATGTCAAAAGTCACCTGGGATTTTAGCACATTCCTTTTTATTTTTATTTTCTGTGTCTGTTTTGCCTACATGTATGGATGTGGACCATGTGTATGTCTGATGTCCATAGAGGGAAGAAGATAGTGTTAAGGCATCTGATCCTTTGGAACTGGGATTACCCACAGTTGTGAGATGCTGTGTGGGTGCTGAAATTAAACCTGGGTCCTCTGAAAGAGCAGCAATCACTCTTACCTGCTAAACTATCCACTTTCTTGTCCTAAGTCATAGGAAGCTTTTGCTAAAAACAGAAGTCACACTATAGTAAGCTGAATTGTGTCTCTCTCACAAGTTTGTTGGCATCCAACCTGTGGTGCCTGTTAATTTCTCTATTTGGAAATGTGATCTGCAAATGTAATCGAGTTAAGTTCAGGTCACGTGGATTAGGATGGAAGGACAGATGTCCTTGTAAGAGACAAATATGGACGGAGACAAACACATAAGGAAAAAGACCCCCTACATGACCAGAAAAGCAAAGCCTGTAGTCTGTGCCTACAAGCCAGGATCACTGGAAACTACCAGAAGTTTGGGAGAAACCAGGAAGCTTCTCCCTAGACCTTTTGGAGGGTCCAACATCTAGATTCCATTCTCCAGTACTGTGAAAAGATAAGTTCTGCTACTTTATGCCACAGTCTATGATGGGAGATGTTATTCTGTAAATATGTTTCTCATGTTGGTTAATGAATAAAGCACTGTTGGCCAATAGGAAAAGCAAGATAGGCAGGACTAGGAGACAAGGAGGAGAGAGGAAGTAGTAGGGAGGAGAGTCAAGATGGGGGATGGAGAGAGCAGAACGCCAGCCCCTCTATCCAGTAAGATAAGACCACATGGAAGTATGTAGATTAACAGAAATGGGTTAATAATTAAGACAGAGCTAGCCGATAAGAAACTAGTAACTGGCCAACAGAATTATACATAATACAGTGTTTCTGTGTGTTATTTGGGCCTAGGCCGGAGGGGAAAAACCTTACTCATAACAAGTCTGAGGAAGTTCAACATGGCAGCTCCAGGAAGTGAATACACAGCAACAGATGCTTTACGTAGATCACTCACCTCTATTTTGCTATGGCTGTGTTGAGAAGCATCCCGGTGGTCTCCTAAAAAAACAAACAGAACAAAACAAGTTGAGTCTCTCTCTCTCTCTCTCTCTCTCTCTCTCTCTCTCTCTCTCTCTCTCTCTCTCTGTGTGTGTGTGTGTGTGTGTGTGTGTGTGTAGAGCCCCTCCTATCTGGATTTGAAAAAAAATGCAGTTAAGTGTCTGATGTTGCTGTCATCCTTGGTTTGGCATAGTTCTAGGGTAAAGAATCATTTTTCAGAAGTTGTAAAAAAAATGAAAAATAGAAGAATATTAGACCCAAGCCCTGATGACTTGTGCCTATAACCCAAATACTTGGTAGACTAATATAGGAAAATCACCATGAATTAAGGCTAGCATGGGATGTAGGGTGAAATCCTGTCTCAAAAACAAACAACCAAAAATATAAATGTATTCTAAGAATGAATAATATTTGGTAGAAACTATTGTGTGGCCTGCAAAGCTTAAAATATTTACTATCTGTCTCTTCACAGAAAAAGTTGACCAAACACTGACCAGAGTTGTTTCAAATACTGGTGCCTGATCCATTATACTCCTTTGGGACTACAATGGTGTCCTTTGATATGCGTAAGTCTGCCATTACCATGGTGACAAATTCCTCAACCCCATAGTGTCCCATCTTCCTCAGTGATGGGTAAACTCATACACACTATACATATTTTTCTCAAGGGAAAAATGTGCATGTGTTTTTTTCTTGAAAAAAAATCAAAAGAGTAAAAATACCCAATATTTTAAGGCAATGTTAACTTCAGTACTATTCATGTGTGTGGAGAATATCAACTATAAACCATTGTAATCATTTTTTTTTTGTTTTTTTACTGTACAGCTTAGTGAGAAGGTGCAGTTACCTTGTGCAGCTATCACTACTCTTCCTTTAGCATCTTTATCTTGATAACTGAACTCGCTAGCATTGCATACTAACTTCCAAGCTTTGGCAGCCAATGCTTCCCTTTGTCCCATGACTTTGACTATTCTAAATACAATCAATCATACAGCACTTGCTTTTGTGAGCCTACATCACTTAGGATAATGTCCTGAAGGTTCATTCATGTTGTAGCACATTCTGTTCATTTCTTCATCCATTGATAGATAAGTAGGCTGTTCCTACTCTTTGCCAAATGTGAATAAAGTTACTATGAACATGAATAAACATCTATTTCTGTGGGTATCTCCTTTCCAAATCTTTTGAGCACAATATATTCCTAGATACAGAATTACTAGACCATGGAGCAATTCAGTTTTTAATTTTTTGAAGGGTATTTACTTCTAATTAATTTCTCTCTCTCTCTCTCTCTCTCTCTCTCTCTCTCTCTCTCTGTGTGCGTGTGTGTGTGTGTGTGTGTGTGTGTGTCTGTCTGTCTGTTCTCAACAGTGCCCATGATGTTTCTTTGGCAATTGGACTCCACAAAGGGAGGGTACCAACAACCATAGGAAGGCAGGCTGTGCTCCAGACAGCATCTGGGAGATGTTTCCACCCCTATTCAACAACCAACCATGGCTGTTATTTCAGACCCCTCATAAGTGAAAGGATATCTCTGGAGCTACTCTGCAGAAAGACAATGATCCAAGCTTCAAGTGCTCTCATGAAAAGGATAGGTTCTGACTTCCCCAGCTTCACGAACCTCACACTCACCATAGATTTTCCCATTAATGCAGCACTTTTTGAAGGTCATGATATTTTGTGTGAGTGTCCCCGTCTTATCAGAGAAGATATAATGAATCTGTCCTAGCTGTTCATTCAGTGTGGTGGTCCTCGCCTTTGCAGGTGTGTCCTTCTCAGCGTAGTACATCTGTAGGTCCCAGTTGATGAAATGACTCTGTCCCAAACGGATAACTTCCACACTAGGAGGACAGAAGAGGGCTTCAGTGGTGAGCTGGGAGGGCACTGGCAGGGAATGGATTCTGCCCTTACTATGCACATGGGAGTGAGTGCTGCTCCTCCCCATGTGCATTTACTGCTTGGGTTTGAAAGCTAGTGTCCACTCCTGTGATGGTTAATTGTTCTTTAAAAACAGATTTATTTTATTTTTAATTATGAATACGTACGTACGTGTGTATGCGCGTGCACACACACGCACACGCATGTGTATGCGTGTATTTGTGTGTCTTTGTTTGGGTAATGTGAAAACAAGTGCTCTAAGAACACAGGTGTTGAATCTTCCTGGCGCTCAAGCTATAGGAGACTGTGAGTCACCCAACTCAGGTGCTGGGAATCAAACTCAAACATTATGTTTTCTTCGACACTAAACCATCTCTGCAGCCCCACGGCCCCATGGTGGTTATTCCTGCTTGTCATTTGATAGACATTACAGTTCCCTAGGAGACACACCTCTTATTGTGTCCATGAGAGTGTTCTCAAGACAGGTTTTCCTGTGGTGGGAAGACCCCATATGGTGGGCTGGGGTCTCCAGACTGAACAAAAAGGAGAAAGTGAACTGGGTTATCAGTATTTCTTTCTGTTTCTTGAGTGCATGCAATGTGACCAGCTGTTTCACACTCTACCACTATATTTTCTCCAGAATGATAGACTGAGCCCTCAAACCATGAACCCAGTTCTCCAGCATGATAGACTGTACCCTCAAACCATGAACCCAGTTCTCCAGCATGATAGACTGAGCCCTCAAACCATAAACCCAAATAAATCCTTCCTTCTTTAAGCTTCTTTTATCATATATACTGTTTTACCAATGAGAAGAGTAACTGTTACCCCACACCCATATAGTGAAACCTAATCTCCAATGTAACAGTACTGAAGTAGGGCTTTTCTGTAATGGTTAGGTCCTAATGACAAAGAGCTCACAAACAGCACCGACATCTGTCTTAAAGAAGCCTGAAGGGGCTTCTTTGCCCTTCCTTGCCATGAGATAATGTAAGAAGGGGCCCCCTGTGTCACAAGTATGGGTTCTTACCACTTACCAAGAACCCTGCCCTTGATCACTGACTCCCCAGCCTCGGGAACTATGAAGAATAAAGTTCTGTTCTTTTAAAGTCACCCAGCTTAAAAGCCACACTGTGCTCCCCTGACCAGCCATATCACTCTCTGGCTTCAGGGCCAGTGGTGTTCCCTCATGACACCTCATCAGTGTGACTTCCTACTCACACTTGAGCACTTCAGCCACAGCTAAGGAACTCTGCCCTCAGAACACATAGCCCAGTGGGAATGGGAACAGTGACAGTATGATCAGGACCACAAACACAATCATCCCACTCTTTTCTTTCACTGCCCTTCATACCTAGGGGCAATTGAGAGGGCCAAGTACACTTGCACAAAGAGAATTAGGACCCACTGGGTGACATACCATCATGCCTCAAACGAGTCAAGTCTTTTGACAATTAGTGCCTTGGTTGTTTACTGGGGGAAAAAACACTTTCTAAATTCTTAGAAGTTATAGAATGCCCAAAAGGAAATATTCTAAGAAGATCATGTTGAATTTAAAACTCAGATGTAAGAAGGCTGTTTGCACACCCAGCAAGTGCTACATGGGTAATGCTTGGCTGCACAGGACTTACAGGTGGGAATAAGTCCCTTATAAAAAGCAGATGAAATCCCTGCCCTTAAGTAGACAAACAAAAACAATCCAGTAAGTGTCAACTCTCAAGGGCTGCACCGTCTATACAGAAAATCAAAGCAGGGAGTAAGGCATAGAGACCAGTAGGAAGGGGAAATGACCATTAAGATCAGTTGAGATAGAGGCCAGGGGGATGAGGTGTCTGAGCCAAAACCTCAAGAGTGCACACAGAATCAGCGTGGTAGGTCATGTGTGTAGTCCTACTACTTGGGTGATAGAGACAGAGGGTTGCTACAAGGTCAAGGCCAGCCTGCTCTGAACAATGAACTCCAGGGCAGGTATATAAAGAAAGACCCTCTCACAAACAACAGACAATGGGTAGGTCACTCAGTTGGTAAAGTGATTGCTATACAAACTTAAGTGCCCAAGTTTGATTCCTCAGCTCCCACATAAAGGAGGATAACAGCAATTTAAGCCTATAATCCATCAGTGGGAGGAGTCAGGAGGATCCCCACTGCTTCCCCATCAGTCAGTCTAGCCAAGTAAGAGATCTTATATGATGGTGTGCTTGCTCATGCAAATGCATCTTAGGCCAGAGAACAATATCAAGAGTCTTCCTCTATTGCTCTCCACCTTATATTTTGATACAGTATCCCTCACTGAACATAGAGCTCACCATTTTGGCAAGACTTGCTGGACAGTGAGCCTCAAGGATCTGCCTGTCTCCATGTACCCTATTATTACTTCCTTCCCTGAAGTCCTGGGGTTACAGTTGCACACCAGCAGATCCAGCTTTTATGTGGGTGCTGAAGATCCAAACCCATCTCCTTGCTTGTGTGTATAATAAGCACTTTATCCACTGAGCTGTCCATCTCCTTAGCACCGCCATCTTGGTCTGCCATCTTAGTTTCTGTTAAAGTGACCACTGAACAGATGGTAGCCCCAGAGATTTATTTCCCACCCAGAGAATATGTAATAAAATAAAATCAAATACATGTGTAATAAAATTTAAATTACGTAAAAGCTTCTAATGACATATGAGTGTCTGAGATTCCAGGTGCCTCTGGGCTGTTGTTTGTTGAGGTAATGATTGACTGGCTACTCTATGTATTACAAGGCATGGTCTTTCCTCCAAAGGCCCCAAATCCAACTGGTCAATAATTGTGAACTTTGATATGAGAGAAAGAAGAAGGAGGGATGATTACAAAACAGGTAGCTATGACCTTGACCTTTGTTAGGACTTGGTTTGGCACTGCACTGAGAAACATGGTTAGAGAGGGGACAACTTTCCTACCAGGAAGTAGCAGCAGGAAGCAGGGACCTGACAGGTGAGCAAAGCTGGAACAACTGTAATAAAGAAGGTTCCATTATAGAAGGTTCCATTATAGAACAGAGGTTCTGGAAAAGGCAGCATTTTCCATGGCATTCTGAATCTTCATGTCCTACCAGACTCTTTGAACCCTTTGCTTCAGAACCCACTGAGAAGAACTAGCCTAGCAAATGACTGCCACCTTTGACCATAGAACATCACTGGTCTTATCTGCATAGATGACAGAAAGTGCCTGGCACAGAAGAGATACTCAAAGTTCACGCCCTTCTCCTACCTCTCTCTCAGTTCCAAAATGAAACTTATTTTCTTCTTCCTTTTGACCTTTGAATCAATTATTGCTAAACATGAAGGTGCTTCACTGGGAAAGGTTCTATAATCTTGCCTGAAGCAAGAGGCCAAGGGGAGGCCAGGCTTACCTGACATAGAGGGAGATGGGTACCATGGTGTTCAGCACAATGATGTAGCCCCAGAAATTCAGGAAGCCCCGGTAGGAGGGAGTAGCATTTTCTCCATCATAGAGGTACCAGGAATAATTGCCAACTTGTGCTTCCCAATAAGCATGGCCAATGGCAAGGCCGGCAGAAACCAGGATGAGTACAATAAAGATCTAGAAGACATGTATTGTGAAGCAGAATTTCCAACTCCATACCTTTCAAAGATTCTAAGAATGCTATTTAGCACTTTAATGGTCTGTAAAAATGTTACACTTAGAAGAAAACATGATGTAAGGAGACTTTAAAGTCTATACGGTTATGACTGATTGCTTTACATTTATAAGTCTAGGTTTTCTTCCCAAAATCATCTTTCAGAAGAGGAGCTGATGTCTTGTATTCAATCCTTAAAGTCATTTATATGATGGGCAGCCTCTTAGCCATTATTAGTTTAAACAGTAATAGATTGTTTGGAAAGAAACTTCACTCTTTCATGAAACAACTTCAAAAATACTGAATTGAGAGGGTTATAGAAAATACTGAATGCAAGTTGCTTTGTTTCATTTGAGAAGAGGTCTCATGTGGCCCATGTCCTCCTTGACCTCCCTATATACTCTGAGGATGACTATAACCTTTCTGATCTACCTGCCTCCATGTCTGGGTGCAGAGAATAAAGGCATGTGCCACTATGCTCTGTTTATGAGGTGGTGCGATCCAACCCAGGGCTTCATTCACGCTAGACAAATTCTCTGCCAGTTGAGCTGTATTGGTAGCCCTGTTTTGTTTTCTGAGACAGGTCTTACTGAGATGGCTCTTACTTCAGAGCCCAGGCAGGCTCTGAACTTCTAGTCCTGTCTTAGTTGCCATTAATGCTGTGAATATAGGGATGGGCCACTATATCCAGCTATTTTTGTTTTTTGTTTTTGTTGTTGTTTGTTTTTAAGAGAGATGGGGAAATATCTCCCATATTTGGGTATTCATACAGGTTCAATGCTATAGGAGTTGTACGACACTGTAAATGCAATGGTTCGAATGATAAAATATCCCCTCTAGGCTCATGTATTGAACATTCAGTCCCCAGTTGGTGGTACTGTTTGGGAAGGTTCTGAAATCTTCAAAAAGTGGGGCCTTGCTGGAGAAAAAACAACACTGAGGGGTGGGCCTTGAAGTCAACAGCTTGGTTCCACTTCCTGTCCCTGTCTCTGATTCCTGATCGTTAGGCCCATCTTACTCTTCTTTGGTTAAGAGATACCTTCCTATGTGACAAACTTTATTCCTTCTAGTTGAGATTAAAGCTCACGCCAAGAGCCTGGTGACAGACTTAGGGTTCCTGTTGCAGTGTTGTCACACTGAGGAAATCTCCTTTCTGTTTCTGAGTAGTAGTTGCCTGTTTTGTTGACCTGATGAGGTTGGGTGGCCAAGGCCAGCTTTTTGGGGATGCCAGGGCCCAGGCTCTGACCCTAACAGCTCTGGTAAGGCCCCCATGGTAGTGTCCCTGGTTCTTAACCAGTCCATAGACAATCATGAAAACACCTGGGGGCAGCCTCTGAACTTTCTCTCCTCCCCAAGGGGGCTGTCCTGCTTGAAGTGTGGAATTTCTTAGAAAAGGCTTGGGGCTCCCTTTACATTCATCCTACTAGGCTTGGTGTGTCCAGGCCTCTGTGGAGGCCATCTAAAGTTGTAAGATCACCTTGCACTAGAAAAACATACATCAAAATTATTGCAAAAGACAGCAGTCTAGTCTAGTCTCTCATCTACGGAAATGAAAAATAAATACCGTGTACACCATGTAGTTCATCAAGTAATCTATTTTCGTTCTTTTAAACCTGGTTTTCCCACTATTCTTCATTATCTTAGTGTCAGCACCTAAAAAAAAAAAAAAAAAAATGGAAAATTCAATGTGATAAATAGTTGGAAGATTCAATGAATAAGCATGTCAATAAAACTACTCTTTCTGTGGTTTTTTGATAGGAAAACAACAGAAAAGCACTTCCCACCACTAATTCTCTACAAACACTTGTGATTCCTGATCTAGCTATACCATTCCAGTTAGCTGGAATATCCTCCCGCCTCGGCCTCCTGAGCACTGAGATGTCTAGTCTGGACCACTATGCTCAGCTCATTCTTGAAATCTTAAGAACTGGAAGCACATTCAGGAAGTACCTGCAAAAATGACCAAGCCATGGCAGACATCGGTGTTCCTGATCACACAGCCACGTAACAGGATTTTATCAGCATCCAAAGGAAAGCTCCGTTTCCTCCAAAACAGGGTTCCCGTGAACTTGTCTAGTCGGTTGTTTGGTTCTTCACATTCAATGAAACCTTTTTCAAAAGGTTTGGTTCACATAATCAGTCAGATACAGAAGACCCAGGCTTAACCAAAGGCCACCAAATAAAAACTAGAATTTTAAACAAAGTAAGGTAGTTCCGTACAAACCATCGAATGTCACCAAGTTATCTTCTGTTTGGAGATACTGGTCTGTGATTTCAAGGGCCATTTTGAACTTCAAATTGGTTTCGCTACAGGGAAGGGGAGGCGGATAGAGTTAAAGGAGCACAATTTGGAGCTCAAAAGGACAAAAAGAAAATTCCACACAGTAACATCAAGCCTATCTGGGAGTGAGTGAAGCTTAGCCCTTAGCTTGTTCTATTTTCAAACTCTACTTGTAAGTTTAGATGGAGCATCTAATGCTAGAGCAAGATTATCAACCTAAAATGTGCCACTTTCTTTTGTCGTGTGCAGCTGTGCCAGTTAAGACAAAGTACCCACAGCCTTCTCTTCAAGTAACCTTTCACCCCAAACCTGGTCTAAATCAGGCTGCCAGACTACAATGGTTTGCAGAACAGCCCCAGTGCAGGCCCCCTGCTTAGCACCTTCTGTCACCGTACTTCCTAGAGCAGGCAACTGGATGTGTTTCTGAAAGGCAACTCTAGGAAAGGAGAGCACTCACTCCATGGGGGCAGGCAGGTACATCCTCTCAGGAGAGCCAGCCTGTTAGTCACACAAGAGGCTGCACTCATTAGGAAACTAAGTGGCGATCCCAACTCCACCACTCAGTTATGACGAGGCATAATGAAAACTTGAGCATTTGGAATAAGAACGTGTCACTGCAAAGATCGGACAATGAACCAGCTGATCTACAGAGCAAGGGAAGGCCAGATTTCCACTCCTGATTCTAGACGTCCATAAAGCAATGGGCCCATTATCTGGGATATGAGAAACAAGGGCCACAGGGAGCAGAGCCCTGACTGTTCCTTACAATGTGACCTTATGAGGCTACTCAGCCTTCCTGGGCCTCAGCTTCCTCAGGTGGTAATAATTATATGGTTGTTAAAAAGATTAAATGAGCTAATACTTAGGAATGTCTACAAGCAATTAAGTACTCAATATATCTACCAAAATTACTTGAAAATAGCACTTTATTCTAAAAATGATAAACAAATTCAAAATTGCCTACTGACAAAGAACCTAGTCTCTTGTGAAGATGTGACAGCATCCATGGTCATCTGTGAGTCTAATCACTGCTCAGTAGTTTATAAGGGCTTAGATATGTGGTCCTGATAGGAGGTGGGGAACAGCTCCATTTTATAGTGGATGTTCTGTTTTATAGAAAAAAAGGACTTGGTACACTATGGACACAGTCAGATTGCCAACAAGTGACTGAGGCAAAAGCCAAGTCTTGGGTTTCCCACCCAGAATATGCAATACATGTTCCCTTCCAGGGAACCTCTGAAGTAGGTCCACTTGAGACACACTCACCCATCAAGCTCAGCTGTTTCTACATAGCAGAGACTGTTAGGCTCTGAGCTGGACAGCAGCAGAATGTCAGCCTGTCCAAAACAAAAGATACTTATCACACAGGGTCCCCAGGGTGGAAGGAACATGGGTTGGGTGGGGGATGGGTGGGCATGCATAAGGAGAATGAGAGAAGCAGAAGTTTGTCACTTACGGGAATGAAATCATTCTTCTTCAGACGGATGACATCTCCAACTTGGATATCTTTCCACTTGATGATTTTGAACCTAAAAATAAAAAATAATAATGATTTAGAAATGTATGTGTTAACCACAAACAACAAAGGGGCATATTAGAACTTTATGTCCCAACTCTGGGAACATCAGAGACGCTTCTGTTGGGAACTCTGAGTCATGTGATAATTTTCCGGAAGGACTGCTGGGCCCTACCTCACTGATGGCCCAAGTTCTTGCAGGCTCTACTGTCCAAGCTGCAAGCACCATGACACTGATGGAGATGCTCCTTAGCTCCAAGTTCAAGGCAAAGCCTGTGTGTATGTGCACATTTATGCATGTATATGAGAGAAAGAGTGTGTGTATGTGCATGTATGTGTGTGTAGTGTGTGTGTGTGAGAGTGCATGTGTATGAGTGCATGTGTGCATGCATGCATGAGTGTGTGTGTGTCAGTGAGTGTGTGTACCCAGAGCCACAGGCATGGTAAGTAAATGCTCCCTCCCTAGCCTCAGGGCTGCTCATTACCAATGTCAGCAAAGAATCTCAACCCCTTCACAGTATTGACTCTAGGTGATTTCCAGAGGTGACTTCCAGCCCAAAAGCCATTTATTTACAAGGAAAAAAAAACACCAAAAACAAAAACAAAACAAAACAAAAACAAATATCAAAAATCCTATGTCAACATTTACAACTTGGTGGCACCTATTTTGAACTAAGGGCAGAGGATGTGTGGCTGTAAATTGGATAATTTTCTTAATTGTGGACACCTTAAACAGTCTTTTCAGATGGGCCTTCATTCCTATTTTTAGTGCTTGACTTTGAATTTGTTCCTTGAGGATCTTGCTATAAAACAACTCATTACTGATCCCTCAGTAGGTTGACTTGGCCAGAGCTGACTGCATTCTGTGTTTCTTGAACAAGAGTTTATTGACTACTTTCTGTGTGTTAGATGGAGGGCATAGTCTGGGTCAGGAGACAAGACGCCTACACACATAATTCTAATACAATTCATGTCATAAAAAGATGAGCTCTCAGGGTTCTTTGGGGACATCCCTACAGGGGACACAGTTGTTGGAGGGAGCAGGCTCATGTAAGTCCCCAATACCCTGGTAGCATAAGTCCAATCAGCAACTACATATAATCCAATTTGGGTATAGCTCCACGTCCGCTGTGGAGCTTTCTGTACACTGTGAAGATGTGTTGCTGTCACTGTTAATAAATAGCTGATTGGACAATGGCTATGTAGGATTTGGAGGGCAGAGAGAATGCTGGGAAGAAGAGGGGCAGAATCAGAGCAGTTGCCAGATTAACCGGGAAGAAACAGCATGGAAAGCACATAGATAAGGTAAGCAAGCCTTGGGGTAGCACATAGATGAATAGAAATGGGTTAATTTAAGTTATAAGAGTTAGTTAGCTATTGGATGCACATTTATAGTTAATAATAAGTCTCTGTGTGCTTATTTGGGGGAATGGTTGACAGGACAGAGCTGATCAGCAGTCTAGACAGAAAACTCTACCTACACACAACCCTGGAGGTGAGGTAACAGCTGTCTTTATCAGAGATGACTCACCATTAAAATACTAATGTACTTGGGTAGATGAGATGGCTCAGCCAGTAAAGTGCTTACAGTGCAGCCTTGAGGACTGAGTTTGATTCCCAGAGCTCATGTGGAAAAGCCAGGGATGGCAATGCATGCTTGTATCTCTAGAGCTAGGGAGGTGAAGATAGGCAGCCCCTAGGCTTGCTTGGCAGCCAGTCTAACTGAACTGGCCAGCCCCAGAACTTAGGAGAGACATGATTTCAAAAAGAAAGGCATAACACCTGTGGAAAGACACCCAACATTGACTTCTGATACCATGTGCACCTGCACTCATGTCCACAAACACACACACACACACACACACACACATACAAAGCTAATGTGCCATAGACTTCTAAGAGGCTATCCTAGTTATTTTTCAATATGATTCTAGACATATTTATACATGAAATCTTCATAGCTAAATTAAAAATAGGTACCTGCCATCCTTAATGACTTCACATGTCCTATTGTTGATTTCCCTGTCCATTTTATGGCGAGCCTTTGGAAGGAACATGGAGAAGTATTATTTGAATCATCTCAATATATGAAGCATCAATGACAAATGTCAGTAAGGACATAATGATAAGAAGAAGGTGACTTGAGAAATCCTTACCACATCATCTACCAGGTCTTTGATTGCTGTGATACCTAGCACCAGAAGTAGGGGTAAAAGTGTGGTATACCATGCCAGGGTGGAGATTTGAGGAATTGCCTAAAAGAAAAGGAAAAACATGTCCCATAAAACACATAGCTTATTTACAAGCAATGGATACTTGACTTTATGTTTTCTAACCCTAATGTCTCACTGGACAAGTCTGGAGCACACCGAGGAATGGACATTTAAGAGTCATTTTGCTGTTTCTCTCTGGCTTCTGGCACATGAAACAGTCTGGCAGACAGTAGCTCCAGAAATTATCTCACTGTGGCTTTAACTAGACACTAGACATCAAAGGGAGTTTGCATCATAACTACTCTAAACGGTTTTGTAAAAATTCAAAGTAAGGCTGGGCAGTGGTGGTGCACACTTTTAATTCCAGCATTCAGGAAGCAGAGGCAGGCAGATTTCTGTGAGTTTGAGGTCAGCCTCATCTGCAAAGGAGTTCCAGAACAGCCAGGGCTATTATGCGGAGAAACCCTGTCTTTAAAAAAAAAAAAAAAAAAAAAAAAAAAAAGTTCAAGGAGAGAAAGCAGCCCTTAACTTTGAACAACAATGTATCCAGCCAGTGGTTTCTGTGGTCATGCAATACAATAAAAGATGGCAATAGGAATGGCTGCTTCGGAAGGCAACTGATTAGGCAAAGCTCCAGTCATGGTCATCCATCCTGGCTCAGGTAACAAAGGATATTCCTTTTTTTGGATGAAGACAGTTTCTCAGGTGGAAGGGATCTTTAATAAAGATCTCTCAGACTCATTTGCTGATCTTTGGGCCACATCTGGCTCTTTGAAGTTAAGCTCCTGGGGTCAGCACTGTTCAGCGCTCTACATTCAGGCTTTCAGACTTTGGGCAAGTTACTTTAGCACACTAAGCCTCGGCTCTTCTCTGCAAGATGGAGTATGTGCTGGTGTTTACCTCACAGAGAGCAAGTAAGCAGGCAAAGAGCGTGTCTATTGCTGTCTCCCTAATGCAGACTGCTGCACCTTAAGAGAAAGCAAAAAGGGCTGCAGCTGTTATCATGAATATGTGAATCTGCCTTCCTTCTAGAGGAAGATGAAGGGAAAGCAGCCCACTGACCACAGGGAAACCTAACATACACCTCTACACTAGCTGGTGACACACCCTTCTGATCAGTTCATCAGGTTTTCTGTCTCCCCGTATCTGTCGAGTAGCCAGTTCTTCCTAGAATCTTTTCCCTTTTCTATACTTTCTGTACCATATACCTACATCCCTCCCAGACATCCATCTACATACTTTAAAGCTTCATTAAGAAACCCCAGTTGCATTTTCCAATCTTACCTTTGTGATACAGAATCTGATAAAGCCAACTGACTATGTTATCTTTACAACCCACATATCAGGTACTAAAGGTCTGTTCTGCGCACTAAGTAAAAAGTGTAGAGCCTCTTGATTATAGTAACCGTTTATACATAGATAAAAGTCTAACACTCCAGATAAGCACTCCCTGGCCAAAAAAAAAAAAAAAAAAAAAAAAAAAGTGTTTTGTTCTAAAGTAAAACCAGTTCACAAAAGTAACCTAGAAGCTTTATGAACAAATGATTAATAAAGAGTCAATAGTATCCTTATGGAAAAACAGGTGACTAATTAACAAAAAAGGCAAATAAATATTGAATAAATAACAAAAACCCTATTACTTTCAAGGTACAAATGATTTTATAACTATTTTAGTACTATTTACTTTAGGGATACAATTTTATCATCAGCACAAAAATCAGCTTTTTGAAAACAGAATCAAGCCATGTCTGTTGGTCCAGGCTGGTTATCTTAGATACTTAGGAGGTTGAAGCGGGAAGACTGCAAGCTCAAGGCCTGCCTAAGCAAGTAGGTGAGAATCTGCCTCAAAATGAAAAAGTGAAAACAAGGGCCAAATACGTAACCCAGGGGTAGAACATGTAAGAAGCTCAGAGTCGAATCCCCCATTTCATTCTGAAATGGAAATGCAAAATAAAATCAGAATAATATTTTCCCACTTATTCTCTGCAAACACTCACTGAGCTGGTTCTGCACATAAGGCATAGATCCCTTATGTAGAAAACCGTGATATAAATATACAACACAATTGAGATTGTCTACTTGCTATACTCTGCCTACATATACCTACAGCGTACGTCACTGACAACAGACTCAAGGCATCAAAGGGCATTACCTGCAAGGTAAGAAGGATCAGGAAATAAAAATTGGCTGCTCGCTTAAATTGTTCAAACAAATTCATGGGTAGAAAGGTGAATCCATTGTACTTGTATGTTTTAATTGCATTATTCTGTTGGGGGAAAAAAAAAGAGTTATTCCAAATGGTACCATATAGCAAGTACACTCATCTGCATTAATAACTATTTCCACATCCTTTCAAATCCCAGGGCCACAACTCTCCAGTCAGAAGAATGCTGAGATTTTCTCAAAGTATTTTATTCTAGCCAGGCTTCGAATGACTTTAAGAATCTAGATTACAAGACACAGACACCAGACTGTGATCTTACGAGTCCTGTTGTCACATTTCTTGATCCATAGGACCCTTTAGAACTTGGGGTGAAGTTGGATGCCCACATGAACAGAGCAGGAAAATACTTTTTATTAAGGGAAGATGAAGGCCACTGTGTCAGAAAGAGCAAAGCCATTCTTACAGGTTGGTTGTGCCCTCCAAAGGTTATACTAGGCCTAATTCTAACGCCTGTTAACAAGATATCACTTGCCTATGGGGTCCTGGCAGATAGATGAAATCAAGATGTACAGGGTGAATTCTAAGCTAATCACTGGTGCCCTTATAGGAAGGCGGGGGGGGGGTGGAATTGGATACAGAGACACACAGGGAGAAGACAGAAGCAGAGATTAGAGTGATATATTTAGAAGCCAAAGAATGATAAGTATTGTGGACAGGCACCAGATGTTGGGACAGGCATGTATCTGATCCCAAGATTCTCCATAAGAAACCTAACTTGTCAATCTCTTGATCCCAGACTTCCCAACTCCCCAAACTATTAGAAAATAATGTTCTGCTTCCTAAGCTACACAGATGTGGTACTGTAATGGTCCACAGGAGAAAAGGTAGTCTAAAAATAAGCACACACATCCTTCCTTTTGGCTATTAAACTATTGAAACAATGATCTCCAAGAAACTGGAATTGTCCCTACACTCTCATGCTGGGAGAAGGAATTTATCTCCTGGAAAGTGATATCACAGTTATGAAAACTTGTCAGATCAACTTGTAGATCTGACTAGATCATCCCAACGATGGATCAGTGATGGTTGGACAACATGCTGACCAGGATGGCTTAGTTTTGCATACCTCTATGTTCCAGTTATCTTTAACCTCACAGAAAGATCTGAGAAATGGACTTTCAAAGTCACTAGACTGCTTTAATTATTACTCTTCTCAAGGTGGCCACACTAAATAAATTCTTTTCTCTGCTTTTAACTAATACTTGCCTGTGTTCTTTCTTATAGGGCTATTGATTTTTATTTATGTGTATGAATGTTTTGAATGCATGTGTGTGTACTATATGTATGTCTGTCCTTGCAGAGGCCAGAAGAGGGTGCCGTACTCTTAAGGACTGGAGTTATAGATGACTGTGAGCTGCTGGGTGCTGGGTGAGATGTGGGTGCTGGGAACTGAATCTTGGTCCTCTGCAAGAGCAGCAAGTACTCTTCATTACTGAGCCATCTGTCCAGCTCTATTCATCTATATGCTTTATCATATTTTAATGAAAATAAGCATTTTTAGGTAAAAATATCTTTGATGTCTCTAAATCCATCCAAGGCAGAATCAATTTGTTACTTCTGAAAAAAAGGCTTTGGTGATAATATTTTATAACTTTTATAAAATATTTTAGCAAGAACTTTGCTGCTGCACTGGGGATATTTCCACAGACATAATTCTATTTTGTATGAAGTCACATCTACCAACCTTTAGGGTAGTTAAACTTTAGTAAAAATGACATTCTATAGAATGAGGAAGGGTTATCAACAGCTCCAGGCTAGTAGTTACCTAGGCAGAAGGCACTGTTTGAAGCTGACAAGCATGACATTGACTAGGCAAACTTGGGTTACTATAAAAGCAATTTTTGTCATTAACTTACCGCATATTTGCTTTCCTTAATACAAAAGAACTTGGTGTTCATAAACTGAGGTTGTTCATGGAACTTTCGATCATTTGCTTTGACTTGCCACGTGCAATCTTTAAAAGAGAAAGACAAAAGAATTATAAGTATAAACGAAGGTCACTGGGGAAGGAATCAAATTAGAGTGAGGTTGGTAGAATGGGCCCTAATGTGTGTGATGGCCTCAAGGGGCTGTTGGGATGCCAACAAGGAAGGGGAGTGGTGTGAAGTCATCTGTGGAAGATGGAAATCTACAGTCATAGAGCCTGGGGTAGAACCTGGGATGGTCAATCTTAATTGTCAATTTGGATTGACAATGAGGTCCAATGGTAGACAGAGCTCCTGGTAGGCCTGTGTGGAATTATCTTGATTACATAAGCTGAGGTAGGAGATGCATCTTAACTGTGAGTATACCCGATGGGCTCAGGTCCTAACCTGAGCAAGGAGGAGAAAAAGAGATAAACACAGGTGTTCATCTCCAGCTGTTTCCTGAATGAGTGTGGCTACAATGTGAAAGGCTGCCTCAACCTCCTACTGTCAGGACTTCTCTGTCATGATGGACTGTACCCTTGAACTGTGGGTCCAGACAAGCCCCTTTTCCATTAAGTTACTTTTGTTGAGGTATTTTATCACAACAGGAAAAGTAAATGAGACAGATCCGACCTCACAATCCTTGGAAAGAATCAAACATGCCGACAGCTTCATCTATGTCTGTTAGACTAAGGGTCCATGAAAATACATGTTAGATGTTTAAATTATCATTTGTAGTTCTAGCAAGTGAATACCCAAGTTGCATTTTGGCCAGTTGCTCAAGGAACATTAATGTTCAAAAAGAGCAATCTATCTCTAACATGACTGAAACAAAAATGTCAAATATCCAAAAGTTCACAGCTATATTAAATTTTCAATTACATTGACTTAGTTTCTAATATTTATATTTTTCTAAACATTTAGTGAATGAATAAATCACTAAGAAGGGTATCACCAACTAACCCCTCATCCGAGTCATGATTTTGGATTGACATTGTTCATGCCTTTCCCTGGTGACCAATGCCTGTCATCTTTCCAAGTTCATTTCATGGTAATGCTATGTCTGAACTCCATAGAACTTCAGAAAGTCCGTTGGATCACTGATGCTGAGGAGAACATTTCCTCTCCAACAGGCATCTACTTAAACATCTATTTATGTCTACTCTATCATGCCATTAACTTGAGTTTCCCTAGGGTGGATCCCTGAGGTCACTGGTAGAGTAGAACCACCCACACTTTCCAACTCATGTTCAGCTTGCTCCCTGTCTGTATCAATTGGTACCCTAATGTTGAAACCCAGTTAGGCTTAAGGGACCTTCCAACACAGAGGTGACTTCAGTTGGCAATAAAGCTGTATCTCCTGTGTTTTCTCTTGTTCTTTCACACTGGGCTTCTACTGTCCTATATTACATCAGCTTTGTAGATAATATGTTCCACTATCTGTATATGCCAGGCATGGTGCTTAGTGGTTAACATCTTTATTTTATACCTCAGGACACTGAGGCATTGGCAGGGTCAGCGAGTAGACTTGTAGCATAAGACTCAGAGTCTAGCTGGTTTTTCTGAGCTTTCATTGTAGCCTGCCCCTGCCTTGCTTTGCTGGCTAGGTCCTTCTTTTGGAACACAATCTCTATACCACTTTGCCAGCAAGAGCCAACTTGGGAAGATCATTCATGAGACCAGGAACACCTTTCCTCTATTACCACAGCATACAGCTGATGGGGAATGTCCTTTTGTATATATATGACTAAAACACTGTTTGGCCAATAGCCAATAGAGGCAGGAAGATAGGCAGGACTAGGAGATGATGAGAATTCTGGGAAAGGTAGGCAGAGAGGCTGCCAAAGGAGACACCATGTAGACCACAAAGGAGTAACAGGTCCAGGCATTCTCCAGTAAGCCAATACCATGTGGAAATACATAGACTTATAGAAATGGGTTAATAATTAAGACAGAGCTAGCCAATATGTAGCCAGAAGCCTTAGCCAGAAGCCCACGGTTTTATAATTAATATATCATCTCTGTGTGTTCATTTGGGGCTGAAGTGGCGGGACCTGGCTAGAAAGACAAACTCCAGCAACATGCTTGGTCTCCTAATACAAAGGTGTAAATGTGTTGCTGCCATGAAAGTTCAAATTATAGTTGTCATCAGTTAGGAGTTAGGCCAAAGGCAGTGTCCCTTGGCATTGAATTCATCAACCTGCAGGGAGATGACCTTCCTTTGAGTGACACACAAGTGGGTAGGTCAAATTTTGATGAAAGGAACAATAAGTGTGACACACCATTTTTGGAAGGAGAAGTAAAGAAAAGAAAATTTATGAGTTAGGGAATCATAAGGCGATCAATTGCGTAGCAATTGTAAAACTCAAAGGCATACTTATGAAAATACTTCATCTTCTTGAGTGACTCACTTTTCATCGTCCTGCTCCTTAGGAAACACAGATACTAGTATAAGAGATCAAGTGTAGACTGTCAGAGAATGCAAATAATGAACTTGATTACATATTTTTTGAAATCACAATACCATTACCAAACATTTCCTTGCATGCTTTGGCTGCCACTCATCAGGTAATCATAAGTGTTGTGTTATGACAAGTGGAAATGTTCCTGGCATCTTCCAAGCCCAAGAGCAATTTCATCAAAAGGGAAAATGAAAGTGAAGTACAAAATAACCCATGAGCACTGTGTTAAGATCTGCAATTAGAACACTTCTTTCCCACTCAAAGGAGAGCTCTAAAGGAAAGTAACAAAAAAAAAAAAAAAAATTTAGGATACCCTTAAATCCATTGCATTTGTAGCAGTTTGCAGATGTATCTGAATTTTAATGTTTTTTTAAAGGACTTGTTAATTTTTATTGTATGTGCATTTGTGTTTCCCTGCATGTATGTATATATGTACCACTGAATGATTGGTGACCATAGAACCTAGAAGGGGCACTGGAATCCCTGGAAATGGAGTTACAGACTGTTGTAAACTGCCACATGGATGCTGGAGATACAACCTCTGCAAGAGCAGAGGGTGCTCTTAACTGCTGAACCAACTCTCCAGCTCCTACTATCTTACTCTTTAAGACAAGATCTTACAACATGGCCCAAGCTTGTTGTTGTCATCATGCCTTAGACTCCTGAGTGCTGAGTTATAGATGCATGTACCACATCCAGGGATACACGCTTTTAAGGTTTTACTTGAGCCCATCAATAATGTGACACGTTCTAGATCCTAGCATTCTACGGCTACGGCGCTGTTGGAAACCATTGCTCTATGTTTCTGGGAGGGGACAGAAGCTGACAGGAGTCCCAGAACAAAAAGGAAAGGCCAGTGTGGAGGACTGGAACTCAGTCTTAGAAATGCACAGGAGGGGTGTGTAAGGGTGGTGCACGCCTGCATCTGCAGCTGTTACCTAGGATGCTGGGGCAGGAAGACAAAAGGTTACAAGCCAGGGGATGGAGAGATGGATGGCTCAGCAGTTAAGAGCACTGGCTGCTCTTGCACAGGACCTGAGCTCAGTTCCCCACACTCAGATAACGGTTCACAATCATCCATAACTCCAGGGAATTCAAAGTCACCTTCTGATTTCTGTGGGCACCTGGTACACATGTGGTATACATACACACGTGCATGCAGAACACCCATACATATAAGGCAAATAAATAAATAAATAAATAAATAAATAAATCTTTAAAAATTAAAAAAAAAAGTTACAGGCCAGTCTGGACTATGCAGTGACACCCTGTTTTTGTTTGTTTGTTTGTTTTTGATTTTTTAATAAAACAATTAACAAAAACTGAGCAAAAACAACCAGCAAAACAAACCAGCAAAAGAGCCTAGGAGGAAAGATTAAGCTATTCTGTAAATGAGCTGAACATGGATTTTCCTGCCTTTCCCTGGTGTATTGGGTCCAGCCCCACCACAAGACCACCAGCTTCCTAAATTCCCTTCTATAATGAAAGCCTTAGCAGGCAGTTCCAGAACTTAGTCCCATCACTTATACCCTCCCCTGCCCAGCCTATTTCCATCTGTAAGCCTTTAATAAACTCCATGTAGAAGCAGTGAGGATTATCAGAGATGACCTTGGTCTCTGTATTGTATACGCATGATAATACATTGAGGGACCTGGAGAAAGTACCCAGTGTGCTTGCATCTGGGGTTTAGCCACAAGTGCTCTACAACTCTACTTCAGAAAACTGCCTGTAGTCAAGGCCTGTGTGGACAAGCATACTGGTGTCTCTTCATCTTTGGAGATTTGAGCATTGTCACAATCAAAGATCATAAAAGATCTGAAGATAGCTGTCTATGGTCAAGTCTACGACCGAAAACACTTGAGATACCTCTCTTCCAGCACCCTTGATAAACAAAGTTATTTATTCATGCCAGCTTTTATAAAATTTATGTGACCATGAGCATTTAAAAACTAATTGGTAAAATGCTCAGAGATTAAGAGTACTTCTTGTTCTTGCAAAGGACCTGGGTTCAGTCCACAGCACCCATAGGTGGCTCACAACCATCTATAACTGCAATTCTAGGTGATCTGATGACCTCTTCAGACTTTGAAGGCATTGTACAAACATGGTGTACATACATTCATGCAAGTTCATATACTCAAACATATAAAATTAGAAAATTAGAGAACATGTATTAATGTAGTTTGAAATGCTGTGCTAATGTGCATGCCTTTAGGAAGGCCATCAAAGCACACTAGGAGGTGTTTTCCTTTTGGATATTTTTTACTATACACTTATACCACAATAGCAATTTTCAATCAAACAAAGCACCTTATCCCATTTTCTAGAACAGGAATATCGACAAAGAGAAGAAATTATAAATTTTCCAGCAACTGCACCAAAATGCATCTTTAACATGTAGCCCTGTAGTTGGATGCTAGAAAGATAATGGACCAGAGTGTCAGCAACAAACCAACCAGGCATATGTCTGGGATGCATGTAACATCAGCCACAAGTGGATCAGTGTCACGCCATGCTCTGCTAAATGATTGTGTCAATGACACATCTAAGCACAGCTACGTGATGTCTAGAGTGTTCCCGCAGAT